TTAGTATTTGTTTTTTTCAAATTCGTATAAAAGTAAATTAAATCTTTCTTTACGTTGTGCTAGTTTTTTGACAATTTTTATTGGATCAACAATAACGTTCCTATGATATTTAAAAGAGCTAACCTGGTTAGACGTTCTAGGCCTATTAAGTTCCTTAGATATGTTACGTTTCAACATTAAAAAAAATCATTCTACACTTATAGTGGATTCAGAAAATGTAGCTAACATTTTTACAAACTTATATAGAGAGAAAATTGTTGAATATACTTTTCTAATGTTTCAACTACATTTAAATCATCTCGACTTCCCATTTATTGATCTACAGTTGATACTCACATAACTTTAAATTTTTCATTTGAATAGTTTATCTTATGAATTTTTATCAAATTTTTCTTATAGCATCACTTTTATTTTGATAAATTTTGGCAGTAAGATTTGGAGATACTCAATCTTCTTGTGATTCTTGAAAAATCTAACTACTTAGCATATGGTCAAGAAAAGAATAATAAACATTTCTTTAATAATATATTTCAGCTGTCTCTGCAGGGATATTGCTTTTTCCTGTTTGCCTATTTGTGACTCTAACAGAAGTTGCTTACGCAGACTCAATGCATAAAAGTGCTTTAAAATTTATCATGATTTTAAAATATTTCTCATCGTTTTAATTATTTTCAAGCGTTTTTCTTACATCTATATATTTGCATGCTTTAGTCAAATCAATATTTTGAAGAATTTTATTATGGTGTACTGAGTAACTGAAAATAGTTCATAAAATGAGTATACCTAGTAAGTAATGTCACTACAAACTGAATTTTCTATTGCAAGTCGCCTTGTCGTAATTAGTAAGCTTATGATGTACATTTTCCTCTACTATATTTTGCAGAACTAGCAATGTATCTGTAACTATGGAAAACATTTCGACAAATTTACTACCAAATAATAGAAATTCTTTTAAATTTTAAAGAATTTTACATAACAAAAACCAAACTCATCTAAAGAGTGCTTATTAAAATTCACTAATACGAATTTATTTTTTTTTGTTAAAGATATTTTTATTACTATCTATTTATTTACTAATTTGGATTTAAACAATGAGGGAGGGTTGAATTTCTTTCAACGCTTTCCCTTTGACTACGTCATTGCAGCCAAATCATACAAAAATAACACAAACATTGTGTTAATTACAAATTTTAACATCGGTACCTACTTACAATATTCAAACTTGACAATTTTTAACTTAGAAACATATGTCAGTGATTCAAAACGTACTCTATCATCTTATATTATGTAATATTCAATATAACCACATTCATATAATAAGTATTTAATAATCTCCTCCTCTTAAAATAGAAGGAAAAAACTTATGCTAATATCGATTGTACCATTTATAAAATGCAATGCATCGTCACGGGAAAAATACTACAGGGCTAAAACGCGTGAGTTCATTGCTACTCCAAACTAGAATTTTAGAAAATTTCATTAAAATAACCAAAGATAATATACCTACGCAAGTAATACATATTACATACATTTTTTCAATGAAATTATTATTATCATTATTCATTGATTGTCTTCATGAATTTTATTTGCCATAGATGATAGATATTATAATATTAAAAATCAATTTAATTCAATAATTAAATAATATCTTTAGTAATAGAGGCTGATCCGTTGTCTTATCTATCCTTAATTCTTTTTATTTTACAATGATAAATTCATTAAATTCAAATTTAACACATTCATTACATTGGACTACTCAATAAATTATACCAACTATATAATAATGTAACTTCCGCTTTTTTACATTGAATGTTATACAAAAAAAAAGAAAAAAAAGTGAGAAAATAATTTTAACAAACTATTTTTTTTTTTAATACAAAAATGTTTTTATATTACATTTTATTTTATAAACAAGAGGTAATTATTATTTTGTCTTGTTTACACCTACATATCTATTACTACATTACATTGTATACTGTGATGGTGTGATAGTTATATAAACTATAACGTTCTACTACTCTATACTTACTCATTCGTCTACTGTAATTTGTTAATAATTATTAATTACATCTTTAAAAAATTATCTAATAAACGGCAATTGACATTACTCAATTGAACAATAATTGATTTTAATAAAATAATTGATGAATTTGTTTAAAATAGAGTAAGAAGAAATAGAAAATTAACATTAAAATAATTATTCATTCTTTTATTTTCTAAGTCTTGTTTATGAGTAAGTCGTTAAATTAGTTGTTGGTTATTATTAATTGTTCAGCAAATATTAAATATGTGTAAATAATATTTATGCTATAGTTACTTTTTTAAGCTACATATAGTACCTAGGTACTTGGTATTATTTAACAATATTGGTATCTGGTATCTGCTACCTATAATTTGTTTCTATATAAACCATATGTTCTTAATCGGGGGTTCGTAGATGGTTACTCGGGTCTTAGGGGTCCATGGAGTAGCTGTGAATTTTTTTTAAATAACCTAAAATAAATTTGTTTTGATAGCGTTTTTAAGATAATAATAATTTGACATTATTAATGTCTTACCCGCATTTATTCATTTATATATTTTTTTTTTTTTTTAATGGGGGGATCCGTGATTATATTTTATACTTCAAAGGGGTCCATGAATCAGAAATAATTAAGAATCTATGATCTAAACCATAAAATTAGTTTTAGGACTTGTGTAAAATCAAAAAATTAGGTACGAATATGCTGTATAGTGTATACAATACATACAATAAAAATATATTTAAACCCGGAGGGAGCTCAAAGTTTTGACCATAAATAAATTATTTTCCCTCCCCCAAGAATTTTCTCAGTTACGCTACTGTGTATTGGCATCTAATATTCTAATGTACACTTTAGACGTCATCTGAAACTTATAAAATGATTTATTAAACTTTAAAAACTAGTATATATTACATAATTTTGTTCACGTTTGACAACTAGATATGCGTACCAATAGTTAATTTATAAGTTGTTATTCAGATCGAGAATAATTCCATTTAAACTGTTAAACAGTAACAAATGTTTATAAATTGATTAATTTGCTTCTATGTTTTAATTATTTAAACATAATGTGTTATAGTATGTAGCAAAAATACGTTTTATTTTCATAAAGATACGAGTACTTATATTTTATGATTTTTGTTTTCATTATTAAAATTAAACTTACATTATAGGTAATAATATAATATATTATTAAAATTTAGTTTAAATATTTCAGCACCTACCTAATTTTTATTTAAAATTAATGTTTTTATACTAAACATGTATATAAAATTTGTTTAATTACTCTGTATAAAATACATTATATTTTTAATTTCAGCCATAAATAATAAATTACACAAACATTCAAGTACGTTGGCGTAGATCTTCCTACAGAGTGCTTTTCACATGGCCAATTATACGTGGCATTTTCTCGAACTGGGGACCCGAATCATCTTATGATTTTAATTTCAACAGGAAATATAACAAAAAACATCATATACTCAGAAGTCTTATAAAATTCTTATTTTAATTTTTTTTTTTCTTTTTTTTTCTTCATCAACTTCAATAAAATTCTTTATCAACCATAAATTATTTCTTTTTTATCATTTATAACGCTAGAAAAATTTCAATCCGTTTTCATTTACCGTTTTTTTATATTTACTTGCCGATCACATCAAACAATAATATTTGAATAAAAAATTCTACAAATCATGGTCCGAAGGCAAAATAAACAACCAATCACGGGCGAAGCTGTGCCGGGTCGGCTAGTAAATTATAAAATTATATCAATATTATAAAAAAAAAAAAAAACACCATGGTATGAGTACTAAGCAGTATCATATTTCCTACATTAATTACTACCTTAAAAAACTTTATTAAATAGTTTGAAAGTCTAAGACATCTGTGAAAAACAAATAACAATATTAAAGTCAAAATAAAAAATAAGGGAAACAGTTTTAGAATTTTTATATAGTCAAGTTTATTTTTATAAATATAGTACCTATACTTACTATTGAAAAAAATGTTATTCATTTATTCGAAATGTTAAAATTGAAAATATTTGACTTTTAATATTACTTTGAATGACATATCAATAATCTTAAATTTCATATTTTACAATTTATATTTTACGGTTTATGAAGCTTCATTGAATCAACTTCTCGCAGGTCAGTTACCTACCTTATCTTTTTCCGGTTTCGCGTAAAAGCTAAAATAGAACCAACTGTAGACTGTGGTACATAAATGTTGAATAATTGTTAACATTAAACTTAGATAACCTAATAATAATATTTTTTTAATACTAACAATAATATTTGAATTGAGAATTTTTTTTATTATTATGTTGGTACTTTAGTTGCAACAAGATTTGCGTAAATTTTACTCTTCAAGTTGGTAGTTTTAAATTTGAAAACATTAGGTAATTTTTATTGTTATCACCTTTGGAGAACTGAATATCATCGGCCCATGTTAATTAACCAATGAGTAATATAATATATTATTACATTATTGATTATATATTATAATTAATTTATGGACTATAACCTATGCAAAATACCAATAAATAGGGCACCTTGGAACTTGGGTCTATAAGTCCATGACAAGAAAACTGGCTCGTAATCGTCCCTAACATAACAGTCATTTCGAATCAGTAGTTTTCACAACGATAAAAATAATTGGCGCGATTTTTGAAATTGTTTGTTTAAATATATTGCTTTTTGTATGTTGATACGTGCAACGCGCGGTTACAATAACAGGTTTACCGGTTTACACGGTTTAGAATCGGTGAATATCGTCTGGTAGCTCTGGTTATGTCCCGCAAGTCACGGTCGAACGTAGCAAATTATAGACTGTAGTTTCATAGTAGTACCAATAGTACCGGATGCTATGGGTAGTTCTTCCCGAGATTAGATCATGGAAGAAAAGATCAAATAGAACCCCAAACATGAACCTTACTGTTACATGTTACAAGTTTTGTGTTTGTGTTGCCGTTTTGCCAACACCATTGACATTTGACGCGTTTATCTCGTGAACACTGACAAAAAACGAATTTTTGTCCGTGTAATCGTGAAGATAAATGTCAATTGATATTATTTATTATTGTTAAACGGCCTTTAAGATTTTACAAATTACAATTCGCATGGTGGACGCTGGACCGTGGACGTATTCACTAATCAGCTTGTCACTTGTCAGTTTCCATCACGTCCGCAGTTGCGGACCGATTAGAATATTGTATGTCAATTACTATTATTCTCCACGTTACGAAGTTTAAAATTAAGCTCTCGTGCCGTGCTATTTGTGAAAATCGTTAATAATTCATGGATTGACACGACCGCTGAACTAACTCGATAATTATGGCTGCCAGTGACTCAAAGGCGCCAATCCGAACTGTCAAACGGGTGCAGTTCGGTATATTATCGGCGGACGAATGCGTTAGTATATACAGGAATTATAACTCATAATTATATTGATCATTATAAGTCTATGATATTTATTAACTATGTTACCTTTATAGCGGCGTATGTCTGTTACCGAAGGGGGCATTCGTTTTGCAGAGACGATGGAAGGCGGACGCCCCAAACTTGGTGGGCTCATGGATCCCCGACAAGGTGTTATTGATCGCTTCTCAAGATGTCAAACATGTGCAGGTTAGTAAAAATGTTGCCTTGAATTGAGTGTTTTATTTTTATTCATACAAATTTATTTACAGGTAATATGACCGAATGTTGTGGACATTTTGGCCATATTGAACTGGCTAAACCAGTATTTCACATAGGATTTCTAACCAAAGCCATAAAAATTCTACGTTGTGTCTGCTTTTACTGTTCCAAATTATTAGTGAGCCCTGTAAGTACAGTATTTATTGAAGTGTACAAAGTATAATATTATATTATTTATACTAAGATATATGTTTTATTACTATTATTATATATTTTTTCATAGACTCATCCAAAAGTAAAAGAAATTGTTATGAAATCAAAAGGACAACAGAGAAAACGTTTAGCTTTTATTTATGACCTATGTAAAGGCAAAAATATTTGTGAAGGAGGTGATGAACTAGATATCAATAAAGATAATGTTAATGATACAACTATGCCCGTAAGATTTATAACTAAGATGTATTATTTATTATATTATAAAAATTGTTTTACTGTCTCCAATTTTTAAATAGCCAAAAAAACAAGGTCATGGTGGTTGTGGTCGTTATCAACCAACTATAAGGCGTGTGGGTTTGGATTTAACAGCAGAATGGAAGCATGTCAATGAAGATTCTCAAGAGAAAAAAATACCGCTTACAGCCGAAAGAGTTTATGAAATTTTAAAGCACATTACTGATGAAGAGGTTGTGATTATGGGCATGGACCCTAAATTTGCTCGCCCTGATTGGATGATATTGACAGTATTACCTGTTCCTCCTTTACCTGTACGTCCAGCAATTGTTATGTTTGGTTCAATGAGAAATCAAGTAAGTTAACCTATGACATTAAAGTACCTATCTATGCAATTTTAACTTATTTTTTGTGTTACAGGATGATTTAACTCATAAATTATCTGACATAATAAAATGTAATAATGAATTAATTCGTAATGAACAGTCTGGTGCTGCTACACATATTATAGCTGAAAATATTAGAATGTTACAATACCATGTAGCAACTTTGGTTGATAATGATAGTCCTGGCTTACCAAGGTAAATTTAAAATTTATTAAAATAAAATAAAGTTTTATAATATTTAAATGCTTGCTTTAATAGTAAATTAATGTTCCAATAAAAAATCATTAAAATTTTTAATAATTATTATGGTTTTATTTTATTTAACTTTTTTACCAGCTTTAACCTTTTAAATTATATAAATAAACAAATATACTCTGCTGTACAGTATTTAATTTACTTATTGGTGATTTTCATTATTTTAAATAGAAATATATATATCTATTTGGAGTTTTTGTGGTTACATGATAAAAGTAGTCTTTTAATTATAACATTGTTTAATTTAAAGTGCAATTAGTAAAATAAAGTTTTTTATTTATATATACGACAACAAAAAGCCTGTAGTTTTGAGTGTTGTCAAAGGGCTGTTAATATCTATATTTTATAATATATACTAAAAACTTGAATTAAAGTTAATAGTGTAGATATATTTTCTAAACATTGTTACATGCTGAATTCAAAAATCTATTGATTTTAAATTATAAATCTGGCCTGAGCACATTTTATTTTTATTCCTATACAAATTTGAAATTGTATTGATTGTTTTTTCCAATATTTTAATTTTAACTTAATATATATTTTTATTTAAAATCTATTAGGATATAATTAGATTTTGTTAACATTTTTAGAGCAATGCAAAAATCTGGAAAGCCATTAAAAGCTATTAAAGCTCGTTTAAAAGGTAAAGAAGGTAGAATCCGAGGAAATTTGATGGGAAAGCGTGTAGATTTCTCTGCTCGTACTGTTATAACACCTGATCCAAATTTACGAATTGATGAAGTTGGTGTACCTCGTACTATTGCTCAAAACATGACATTTCCAGAGATTGTTACTCCATTTAACATTGATCAGTAAGTATTGAAATAATACTTATCATTATATACTAAATATGTATACTACAAATATTAAATGGACTAATTATGAGTTCATATTACTCTAAACATGATTTAGCAGCTTATGATTCATTAAATTTTAATGAATCATTAATTTAATCAACTGTTACAAAATTTGCTATAAATCATATAAAATACATTTTTTATTTAATAGAATGTTAGAATTGGTTCGTCGTGGTAATTCACAGTATCCTGGAGCTAAGTACATTATACGTGATAATGGTGAAAGAATTGATTTACGTTTCCATCCCAAACCATCAGATTTACATTTGCAATGTGGTTATAAAGTTGAAAGACACATAAAAGATGGTGACTTGGTAGTTTTTAATAGACAGCCTACTCTACATAAAATGAGTATGATGGGTCATAGAGTCAGAGTCTTGCCTTGGTCTACATTTAGAATGAATTTAAGGTAAGGTAGTAAAATAATTGTTGTATAAAAAAATATACTAATTAATATCTTATTTATAATCATTAGTTGTACGTCTCCTTATAATGCTGATTTTGATGGTGATGAAATGAACCTTCATGTTCCTCAATCTATGGAAACAAGAGCTGAAGTAGAAAATATTCATATTACTCCTAGGCAAATTATTACTCCTCAAGCTAATAAACCTGTAATGGGAATTGTACAAGATACATTGACAGCCATCAGGAAAATGACAAAAAGAGATGTGTTTATTGAGAAGGTAATTCTTCTAGTTATGTTATTATTTATAAATTATTATATTGTATACAATAATTTATAAAACTCAATTATTGTTAATAATAGCATTTTAATACTGTCTGCTATCGTTGGAAGAGAAATTAAAGGGTAATATATTTTTAAAATAGTTAAGTAATTTTAAACCTTTTATTTACCTAAATGTAAAAATGTTATTTTTTATAATTCTGTTTAATTGAACCAGTGTTTGTTAACAATAATTTTAATTATTTTAAAAATACTGGTAAATTAACATGATCATGATTTTAAATTAATATAAATAAATGAGTTCAATAAAATATAAATTAATTTATATAATATTCAATTGATCGTTAAACCAATGTTCATTAACAATAGTATGTTATTACTAGGATTATGATTTAAAGATAGTGTATATGATAAAAAGTAATTTACAATGTAAAAGATTTTCACTGATTTAATTTGTATAAAAAAAATCACTACTGTGTTCTTTGATAACCTATCCTCTAAAAGAGCATTAAAGATTTTAGCTTAAAATATTTTTGTACCTAGAGAATGATCTTTTGACGCCAACTAAAGTTATTAATGCTTATTTCATATCTAAATTATTATTTTTATTGTCTATTGTTTCTTCAGTCTAAACTTTGATGATTTTTCTAATAATTTTCTCACCTTTATTTAAACAATAATAAAGATTATATAATCAACATAGTGAAACGACAATTGATGAATGCCAACTTATAAACAATCTTAAATTTGCTATTCAAAAATTAATTTTAATTTTTAGATCGAATAAAACTACTTAGATTAATGCTAAATCAACTTTATTGATACGTTTGAAAACAATAATAATTAATAACACATGACCGTTAAATATGATATTGACATTGTGTCAGTTTTGCTAACTTTTATTGGTTAATAGTTTACCATGAATATTTATAAAATTATTATTATCTATTAGTAATATTATCTCCATAACATTAAAAAATAAAACATTAAATACTATTATAAGTTTTTATTTTTAAAATACTTAAAATATTCTAAACCTTAAACTCTTATCAAAATATTGGTAAATTATTAATTAATATACTCTTAAAATGAAATAACATTTTTAATTTAACCATTTTCGTTCTAAATTTTAGCTATTTTAAACTTATTTAACTTTTTTTAATTTTCAATTGATAAACAATAAATCTTATTAAGCTTATACTATAATTGTTTTTAAATAATGATCAAAAATTGTATATATTTAAAATTTCTAACAATTATTATTATATAATATTCAATTATTTGTTAACCCAATGCTCGTTAATGATTGTAGGTTATTACTTTCTACTATCATCTCCATAACATTGGAAAAAAAAAATTAAAAGTTTATATTGGTTTTTATTATTTTAAAACACCATAGTTCATTTGAACTTTTAACAAATTTCATCTATATTTAGAGCTCTAACTATTAACTAAATTTAGTTATATTATTAAGTAATTTTATTCGATTGAACCAGTACTCGTTAATAATAGTATTAATAATAATTTTACTATTATCTCCAAAATACTGGTAAATTAATATAATCTAGATTTGTATATTTTTGATTAATTTTATTAAATAAATTAAATATTACATTCTTAGTACACTTATTAGATTTAATAAATATGATAGAACATCAAATTTTATTATGATATTTTAATTTACAATCCAACAATGAATATACAAAATATTATCATTTAAGAATACTCATAACATGTCTGTTATTTAAATTATTGAGAAAACTCATTGTAAAAACATAGATAATATTTAAACCTTTAAATTTAATGCACTGATTAACCCAATTCTACAAAATTGGTTCTTCTGAATGTAATTTTATTAAAATTTATATTTATAAACGTATGTGGGTATTATGTCTTCTTATGATGGACAATAAAGCATGTGTAATGTCTTCTAAAATGTTATATTTTTAAAGTATTATAAATTTTTCTATATTTTCTTCATAGTTTTTCCTAAACAAAATTCTTATTTATTATAAATTTGAATAAATCTCCAATTACCTGACCTTATTACATATTTATTTATATATATATTATAAATAATAATCATATACTGTTAATATATCAAAAATTTTACAACCATAAATTTATACAATATTAAGTAATTTGTTAAATTAATGCTCGTTAACAACAGAATTTTTTAACTTTATGCTATCATATTTTGAACAGTAAAAAAATAAAAGGTTAATATAGGTTTTATCATTTTTAAATACCATAGTCATAAATCTTTAATAAGTATAATCTTTAATAAGTTTAATACCTTAGTATTAAAAGTATTAAATTTAGTTTTATAGTTTTGTTTTCATTGAACCAGTGCTCGTTAATAATAGTATAAGTAATTATTTTACTATTATCTCCATAACACTGGTAAATCAATTTAATCAAAAGTTGTATGTTTTTGGTTAATTTATTAATAATAATCAAATAATACTTTCTTAATACAATTATTTAATATTTTAAATGTTTTCTAAAAGAATCAAATCAAATGTCATGATACCTAATAAATCTTTTTATTTAATTGAAGTTCTCAAAAATGTAACATATTTATCTTTATAAATTAACTACTACTTTATCCTTATATTTATTACAGACAATTTAAGTAGCCTATTTAATGTTACATTTGCAATGACAACCAAACATTAACAAATAATGAAATATTTTGTTAATTGATTTTGCATTTAGTTTTAAATCATTTTTGTTGACATGAGAATTTCGTTTGTGTTATATTTGTTACATTATAATAATGACTGCCCAAAACATATGATTCAATTTTTTTGTATTATAAATAAAATATTTATTTTTATTTACCCGATTTCCTTATCTATCATTCTCCTTATTAATATTTCTATATTACTTTTTCTACTTATAGTAATTAAATATCAATATAATAATAATATATGTATAAAATTGATTCATCACTTAAAAAGATGTTAATGATTTTATTGTTTATTAGGTAATGCCAGAAGGCATTTCATTTCTTATAACAATATCAATGACTGTTTTTTTTTTTTTTAATTTTAGTGTTATATAAATGTTACAAAGTATTTACTTTTAATTGTTATTGTGATTAGTTATGTATAATTTAATCATTAGAGGCCTTAATATTGGGTAATCTTGTTACCAAAAATATTAAATTAAAAATATAGAAACTGATTTGAGATATTTCAAATTTATATTCATTAATTACTCATAAATGAATATTAAATCTGCTTCATGATTATAGGAGGCGATAGGGGTTTAATTGAAAATATATCCTGATATGTTAAAGAATCTTACACAACTCAATAATTTTAACATATATATATATATAACATAGATTTTATTTTTTATTTTTTTAGGAACAAATGATGAATTTATTAATGCATCTTCCCATCTGGGATGGAAAAATGCCAACTCCTTGTATTTTAAAACCAAAACCATTATGGACCGGAAAACAACTTTTTTCTTTAATTATCCCTGGAAATGTCAACATGATACGAACTCATTCCACTCATCCTGATGAAGAAGATAATGGTCCTTACAAATGGATATCACCTGGTGATACAAAGGTTTGTATTTATACAATATTAATGTTTAATATCAAATAATATTCCAATCAAAATGTTAGTTAGTCTGTATATCAATGATTAATTAATTATTAATGATAATTCTAAATTTTTGAATTACGAAAAAATAAATTTAATAATTTTATTTTTAATTGTGTTAATAATAATTTTACTGTTGTCTCTGAAGCACTAGTAAATTAATTAAATCAAGATCTGTATATTGTTGATTAATATTTTTAATTAAATCAAATATTTACATTTTTTAACTTAATTGATTTTAACTATGAATGCAAATTTATACTGTTGTAAACTTAATAAACGACAAACTTTACTTCGCTGTTCTTATCATTTTTAAATTCTTTCAAAAATTTTAAATATTAAAATTTCTAATAATTATATAATATTCAATTATTTGTTAACCCAATGCTCGTTAATGATTGTAGGTTATGACTTTCTACTATCATCTCCATAACATTGGAAAAAAAAATTAAAAGTTTATATTGGTTTTTATTATTTTAAAACACCATAGTTCATTTGAACTTTTAACAAATTTCATCTATATTTAGAGCTCTAACTATTAACTAAATTTAGTTACATTAAGCAATTTTATTTGATTGAACCAGTACTCGTTAATAATAGTATTGATAATAATTTTACTATTATCTCCAAAATACTGGTAAATTAATTTAATCTAGATTTGTATATTCTTGATTAATTTTGTCAATTAAATCAAATATTACATTTTTAGTACACTTATTAGATTTAACAAATGTGATAGCATATCTAGTTGTATTATATATTATTTTAAAATATTTTAATTTTCAAGAAAATTATGAAAGTAATACTTTTTAGTATCGTCAGTCTCTTAAAGATTAAAAATAAACTTAGTATACTTAAGTTTTTATTATTTTAAAACACCATAATTATTCTAGATACTTAAAAAACTATTTACTTTAATATTACAAGTATTTACTGCTATTTGAGTTAAGTTATTTTAAATAGTTTTATTTTTTGATTCAATAAAATAAAATATTTACATAATTTAATTTAGTAATTATTTGTATTTGCATATTTTTAGGTAATGGTTGAGCATGGTGAGTTGGTAATGGGAATATTATGTAAGAAAACTTTAGGTACATCAGCTGGATCATTGCTTCATATATGTATGTTAGAATTGGGCCATGAAGTATGTGGAAGGTTTTATGGTAACATTCAAACTGTGGTTAATAACTGGCTTTTATATGAAGGTACTTTATATTATTTCATATCAAAATATATTACTCAAAAATGTTCATAATGTTTATATTAAGGCCATTCAATTGGTATTGGTGATACTATTGCTGATCCCCAAACTTATTTGGAGATTCAAAGAGCAATTAAAAAAGCCAAAGAAGATGTAATAGAGGTAATTCAAAAAGCACATAATATGGATCTTGAGCCAACACCGGGTAACACTCTTCGTCAGACTTTTGAAAATCAAGTAAACAGAATTTTAAATGATGCTCGTGACAAAACTGGAGGTTCTGCTAAAAAATCTTTAACTGAATACAATAGCCTTAAAGCTATGGTAGTATCTGGTTCTAAAGGTTCAAACATTAACATTTCTCAGGTATATTATTTATTTATACCTTTTTTTCTATTACTTATATCTTTTTTTGTTTTTGTTTATATCTAGGTTATTGCTTGTGTAGGTCAACAGAACGTAGAAGGGAAACGTATACCATTTGGTTTTCGTAAACGTACTTTGCCACACTTTATTAAAGATGATTATGGACCAGAATCAAGAGGCTTTGTAGAAAATTCTTATCTAGCTGGTTTAACACCTTCAGAGTTTTACTTCCATGCTATGGGAGGTCGTGAAGGTCTTATTGATACTGCTGTGAAAACTGCTGAAACAGGTAAGAGTGGATTAGGTTATTAAAAAAAATCTTGTTTAGCATATTCTCTACAGAAAAAATACCAAATAGTGTAAACTAACATTTTTCGCATATTCTAAATTATTTCAATTACCATCATGTACCATGTACATTAATTTGGATAATTAAATTTTGTTAGGACCTTCTATAAGTATTATCACATAAATGCATTCAAATCGTACATAGATATTTCAGTTTTTAAGATATTTTTAAGGCCTATTTTCTCTATTTCATGACGAGAATTTTCAAGTATAATATAAAGTTAGCATGCTAAGTTATAATAATAATGATTTTTTTCTAGGTTACATCCAAAGACGTTTGATCAAAGCTATGGAATCTGTTATGGTCCACTATGATGGAACTGTACGTAACTCTGTTGGCCAATTAATTCAGTTGCGTTATGGAGAAGATGGTCTTTGTGGAGAAGCAGTAGAATTTCAAAGTATTGCTACTATAGAACCATCACACAAGAAATTTGAAAATGAATTTAAATTTGATGTTTCAAATGAAAGACATATGAGAAAAATATTCACTGAAGATGTTTTAAAAGAGATGATGGGTAGTAATGATACTGTAGCTGAATTAGAAAAAGAGTGGGAACAATTAAATAATGACAGAGATACTCTAAGAGAAATATTCCCTTCTGGTGAAAGCAAAGTAGTATTACCTTGTAATTTAAAACGTATGATTTGGAATGTTCAAAAAATTTTCCACATTAATAAACGAGGACCAACAGACTTAAATCCTATAAAAGTTGTAAATGGTAAATTTTCAATTTATTTAGTATTAATATATTATACAATATACAAAAAATTATTTTAAAATAGCACTTATTAGTATTTTATTATTAAAGTGTTAAGTACGCAGCTGTAAACAATAAAATTAATCTCACTGCTGTAGTATTAAGACTTCAAAATAACTATTTAAATCAGAAGTCTTCATTATATCGTATCTTACTTTTAGTTGAGGCATGCTAATATTTATTAAGCCCAGAAAATATTTTTATTTATTTGTGGATTTTATTCATTTAATAGACATTGTTACATCAAATGCAATTTTTAATATTTAATAATAAAAATAGGTGGCCTGCTGCCTAAAAATGTCCAAGACTCCTGATTTAACTATTTCACATCTTATATTTTTAAAATTTTGTAAAATTAAATACATTTTTTTAATCAATTTTGTAGATTAAAACACCAATATTTGTTCACAAAAATGTTTGCAAACCTTGAATTAGAACTTTGTCACACATTTTGTGTTCTACTGTTGTACTCAAAAATTAATCTTACTTTTTATTTCTATAATATAATGTATTCTTATGATATTTTTGTTTGTGATTACAGGAGTTAAAAAGTTATTAGACAAATGTGTTATTGTAGCTGGTGAAGATGAGTTAAGCAAAAAAGCTAATAAAAATGCTACTTTATTGTTTCAATGTTTAGTGCGTTCTACTTTATGCACTAAATTAGTATCTGAAAATTTCCGTCTTTCTTCTGAAGCATTTGAGTGGTTAGTTGGTGAAATTGAAAACAGATTTAAACAAGCTCAGGTTAGTATTTTTTTAAATTATAACAAAATATTATTAATAATCTTTACAATTAAGTATTAACCTTCATAAAAATAATTTACTTTTTCAGGCACAACCTGGCGAGATGGTTGGAGCATTAGCTGCTCAAAGTTTAGGAGAACCTGCTACTCAAATGACACTGAATACTTTTCATTTTGCTGGTGTATCTTCTAAAAATGTAACCTTAGGAGTACCTAGATTAAAGGTAATAATTTTATCATGGTTATTGTTAACAGTAAATTAATGTTGTTGTTTAAATTTTAGGAAATTATTAATATTAGTAAAAAGCCTAAAGCACCATCACTAACTGTATTTTTAACCGGAGCAGCTGCGAGAGATGCAGAAAAGGCCAAAAATGTATTATGTCGCCTTGAGCATACAACATTGAGAAAAGTCACAGCAAATACAGCTATTTATTATGATCCTGATCCTCAAAATACAGTTATTAGAGAAGATCAAGAGTTTGTAAATGTATATTATGAAATGCCTGATTTTGATCCTACGAGAATTTCTCCATGGTTGTTGCGAATTGAATTGGATAGAAAAAGAATGACTGGTATTTAATTAAACTAAATATGTTTTTGATTAAAAGTAATTTATAATATATATAATATCATATATTTATAAATTATTTTAGATAAAAAATTGACTATGGAAGCAATATCTGAAAAGATCAATGCAGGATTTGGTGATGATCTTAATTGTATATTTAATGATGACAATGCTGATAAATTAATTCTACGTATACGTATTATGAATGGCGAAGATGGAAAAATGAATGGTGGTGATGATGAAGACACTGTTGATAAAATGGAAGATGATATGTTCTTGAGATGTATCGAAGCAAACATGTTATCTGATATGACTTTACAAGTAAGTATCTGCTTATTAATAAATAGTTAAAGTTTAAATAGTAATTAACTAATCTAATACTTTTATTAACTTTATTTTATATATTTCTTGTATATCTAATAATTATTTTTGAAATTTATAGGGTATTGATTCTATTGGAAAAGTGTATATGCATTTGCCACAAACCGATTCCAAAAAGAGAATAATTATTACGGATACTGGAGAATTTAAAGCAATTGCTGATTGGTTGTTAGAAACTGATGGTACAAGTTTGATGAAAGTATTAAGTGAAAGAGATGTTGATCCTGTGAGAACATTTTCCAACGATATTTGTGAAATATTTTCGGTAAATATTATGCTTAAAATTAGATTAATTAAATACCTTGATATTAATTATATCTTCAACTTCAGGTTTTGGGTATTGAAGCCGTACGTAAGTCAGTCGAAAAAGAAATGAATACTGTATTGCAGTTCTATGGCTTGTACGTAAATTATCGTCATTTAGCATTATTGTGCGATGTTATGACAGCCAAAGGCCATTTAATGGCCATTACTAGACATGGTATTAATAGACAAGATACAGGAGCGTTAATGAGGTAAATATTATATAATATTTATATTCTACTGTTTATCAAATATGGTTTGAAATATAGATTTATAAAAAATATAATAATTCAATATTTGCAGATGTTCATTTGAAGAAACAGTCGATGTTTTATTAGATGCTGCTTCACATGCTGAAGTTGACCCAATGAGAGGTGTATCTGAAAACATTATTATGGGACAATTGCCTAGAATGGGAACAGGTATTTATTACAATTATTTACTAGAAATTAATGACAGAGTTATGTCCACATTAATAGTTTACATACAATTTAACATTACAAAACATCTTTTTCAATCCCAAAATTAACTTAAGTTATAGATAATAAAAATATAGATTGGGTGCTAATCAATCAAAACTCAGTCATACAGTTCAATATTTTTCTTGACCACTTTACTTCTATGTAAGGTGTTAACTCGTAGAAAATAATCATTATTTATTAGATATCTACTAGTCTATAATACATTTATGAATTCATTTAAACGAATCGCATAGTATATATTATATAATATGATAGGTGATTTAAATTATATTGATAATCATTAAGACTTATTGATAAAACAGTATAGATAATCAAAATCAATGATACTGTTGTGATATAAATGACCTTAATTAATAATTTTTCCGCTTAAAACTATCTTGTATTTCATGTATAACAATTCTTTACTTACTAAAATTTAAGAACACAGTAAAATATTAATAATTTTTATTAATTGATTTAACATCAAAATATTTAATTAAATAGATCTGTTTAAAAATAAAGAAATTTGTGTTGTAACTTCTACAACTTTTTTAAATTATAAATTGGTTTTCTGTTATGCATACTAAATAGTAAATATGTGTGAATATAGTTTTTAATAGAAATGTAACATACTATTTTTGTATAGGTTGTTTTGATTTGCTTTTGGATGCTGAAAAAGCTAAAGATGGTATAGAAATACCTATGGATAACGGTTATATGGGTATGGGTGGTGGTGGTATGTTTATGGCTGCTGGCACACCTTCTATGTCACCAGCTATGACTCCATGGGATCAAACATCCACACCAATTTATCAAAATAGCTGGTCTTCAAGTATGAGATTTAAATTAATGCAGTATTTTTTAGTATATTTAAAATTAATAAATTATTTCTTTTAGGTTTGGAAACTGGTATGACTCCTGGAGGACCTGGTTTTTCACCAGCAGGATCAAGTGAAGCTAGTGGAACTTCTCCTTTCTGGATGTCCTCTGGAGGAACCCCGGGTAGTCCTGGATCTCCAGGCATGGCCACTAGTCCTTATGTGCCTAGCCCTAGTTCCATGTCACCGAACTATAATTATCCTTCTAGCCCACAGTTTGGATCTTTATCACCTTCTATGACTCCAACTAATTATTCACCAACAAGTCCTCAATATTCTGCTACACAACAAAATACTCCAAAATATTCCTCAATGTCTCCAAACTATAATTATTCCCCAACAAGCCCGTCGTATTCACCTACTAGCCCTTCGTACTCTCACACTTCATATTCTCCGACAAGTCCTTCGTATGTATTTTTAAAATAACATTTAGTTTAGGTTAACCATAATCAATAAACTAATATAATTTTCTATGTTTAGCTATAGCCCAACATCTCCATCATATAGCCCTACGTCTCCATCTTACAGTCCGACGTCTCCGTCATATAGCCCAACATCTCCATCTTATAGCCCAACATCTCCATCGTAAGCATAATTTATAATTCAAAATAAAAGACATACTTACAAATTTTAAAATCATTTATTTTTAATATAAGCATGGTTGAGCTAAAATTGTTTATTATTTTACAGATACAGCCCTACCAGTCCTTCATACAGCCCTACATCTCCATCTTACAGTCCCACATCTCCATCATACAGTCCGACTTCACCATCGTAAGTACCTTTAAAGTTGATTTAATTTTTAAAAAATTTAACTTTTAACCCTAAATTGAGTAATTTTTACTTTTAAAACATATAATTATTTTAATTAATATAATTTGCATGTTAGTTATTTATATTCACAAACTGGAAATGTATAATATGTATTTTAATATTTATAAATTAAAATATTGATTTAATTTGAAAATTTCTTGTTTGGCATACCCAAAATTTTATATTTTATATTTGTTATATTTTTTGGTAAAAAAATAAATTAAAATATCATCATTAATTTAAACAGGTACAGCCCTACATCACCATCTTACAGTCCGACATCACCTTCGTATAGTCCGAGCTCTCCACAATATGCAGCATCTTCCCCATCGTATACACCTAGTGCTGCTTCATCTGGGGCCAGTAATTATAAATATTCGCCCACTTCGCCATCAGTTGCTGTTAGTCCTACATACTCCCCTACCAGTCCAATGTACTCTCCTTCAAATGCTTCTTACTCTCCATCTTCTTTACAACACACACCAAATGCTGGAGGTACACAATATAATCAGTCATATAGTCCCAGTTCGCCTGTATATTCACCTACCAATTTTTCGATGGCAAGTCCCAGGTAAGCCAAATAGTTTTCTTATTCTAATTAGCCTATTGTCACTGAACATTTTATTTTAGGTATTCTCCTACTTCGCCAACTTATTCACCTGGTGTTGGGAGTCCACATTATTCACCATCATCGCCCAGCTATTCACCAACGTCTCCAAATTATAGTGGACCAGATGAGCCTTAAGAAAACCCATATTCTTATTATTTTTATTTTTTTTTTTTTTTTTTTAAAGGACAGAGGGTATACAGTAACTTCAATGTGAAGAATAAAATTTATTTTACTTTTTTAAGTTAAGATATGCTGTAATCTTATATATATTTTTTTGTGTATAATTGAAATTACTTTTTAATAATTATTATTAAACTGTTTGCTTTGTTGAAAAACTATTAAATATGTTAAGTAATTCTTTTTATAATTGATACCTATATTTTTATTATTTGGATATTTAATAAGACTTATTTCAATGAATTACATTTTTTTTTTTTTATTATTGTTCTTATATTTTTTGTATTTATTATACCTACAACCTACTAAGCATTATATTGATGCTTTTACTCTTTATTTTTTTGTGTGTGTTATAGTTTTTTACTATATGGTAAATTGGTTTTTAAAATAAATTCTCAACTAAATCAAAACTTAACTTGATTACAATGTAAGGTTAGTTTATAAAAAAAATTTTTATCAAATTAAAATAAACTATACTGGTTTAAATTTTAAAAACAATGAATTATTATTCATATTCACATTAGTAGTTTCAGAAGTGTACTTTACATGTCTTGAATATAATTTTTGTCAAAATGTGGAGAGTTATATTGTATTAAATCTATTCAGATCATAGTTGTTACAATATGTTCATGTATATCAATACAATCAGCTATTTTTAAATGTTAGAATTAATTTTTTGGTGTTAGCATTGTTATTAACTTAATCAAACATCATATAATATATTGTGTTTAATACTATTATTTGAGTAATGGTATTGAAAAAAACTTATGTTGGTACACAATAGAAATGAATGATTTAAATAATAATATGTATAAACTGAAGTTACCGTGGAAACGGATATTTGTATACATTGTATTAAAACCAAGGAAACTGAAAATTCAACATTAGTGCAAAAATGGGATGTTTCTGTTGCAAAAATTCTGTTAAAGAGCCAAAAAAATTAATATACTCATGGTAACTATAATTATGCTTTATTGACTGTTATATAATATTACTCTTACATGATATAAATATGATTAGGTAAATATACCTAAACATTTATTTCTCAGTAATAAGTATTTACTAGTGAAGTTAGCTACTCAATCATTGACAAAGACAAATTTAAAAAAAAAATTGAGATGCTGAAACACCTATTCATTTTAGTTAATCTTATGAGATAATCATGAATTACACAATAATTAATTTCAAATACAATTATCATTTAATGGCCTCTTTAAATCTTATATTTAAATGTAATTAATTAAGAACTACCTAATTAACTATAATTTAAATAAATTATTAGAGTTCCTACTAACTTTAAAACTAAGAGTGTTAAATTCTAAGCCAATTCCCCCTACTACATCACATATATCATTCGTGATTCAAATTAAATAATAATTGAGGACTAACACCTACAACTGGTTTATACATTTCATGTTAATTAATTTATTGGTTTTATAGGGTTGAACGAAAACACTTGGACCCTGCAGATTATATGATAGAAAATTTAAATGGTTGCACAGCATATAAGTCTCCAGGGTCAATTGGCGGGCAACAATTTGTTATTCGCAATTGCCAGGACTCTAATATTTACTTGCTGGATCATATTGGTTCAGTAACTATAGATGATTGTCAGAGATGCACAATTATAGTAGGACCAACCAAACAAAGGTAAAAATAAAAAAAAATAATTAATATGTACAATTGGGAAATTTATTTGACTGAGAAATTTTGATAGTATCAAGTAGATAAATGATAAGCTGGAATATGGATACATGTGTCTTTAATCTCTTTTTAAGAATTTAAGAGCTCATATTAATAACTTCACTTTTCTCAATTTGGATAAAAATAAATAGATTTATTATTATTCTTAATTTTTAAAAATTTTTAACAAGTGAAACCATATTTTTAATTTTTAATTCCAAGCATTGAGGAAAAATAATTGTTCAAAGTTCAAAAGTTTGATAAATATTGATATTTTATCTAAATGCATAATAATATTGTTTTTTTTCTATTATAACTTTTCATTTGAAAAGTCAAATTTTAAATATGGCAGTAAAATGTCTCCTTTCATGTTATAAACTAAAATTTAAATTCCTTAACAAATTGTTTAATGTACAATACTTTTAAAATAGTATTACTGAACGCTTCATTCACTCAACTCACCAAGCTCTGTATAATATGTCATATTTATTACTTTTATAATTTTTCATACATATTGTGAATATTCTTTTAAAAATAAGAAAAAAAAATACTTTACTTTCTTATAAATACATAATATACATAATCAGTTTTAGCAAAATAAGTATTCTGCTTCAAAATATAATATTATGTTTAAAAAAAAAGTAGAAAAACTCAATTACTCCAACTGGCAACTTCAAGTATAACAATTAACACAATTTAATGATTGAGATTTGAGATAGACTAGAACACTAAAATAATATATTAATATCTACATATGTCCTAAAATTAAAAACAATTTAAAATTTAATTTGAATAGTCAAAATTAAAAATTATCAGTACTTTTTATAATAATTAAGTAGATACAACAAAATAAAAATTAGGGAAAACCCGAAATTTTTATGCAAAACTAATTTTTGACAATAAGAATTTTTTTTTTTAATATTATTCAACAAATACCACATCGTATATGCTTAGTTTTCAGTGTTTTCACTAAATATTTATACAAGCATTTCTATAGGTAGATACATAACCAAAATATTTTGATTTTTTGTTATATTTATAGAGATTTAACATTTGATATATTTTTATTTTATTTTTTAGAAGTTATAAACATGCTTTAATTTTCAACTTTGAAAGTGGTTTTTATTAAAAAAATAGATCAAGTAGATACTTAGTGGATCAAGAATATTATTATTATAATTATTTTTTTTTTAATTCAAAATAACCAGAGAAATTTTACTTTAATTTTTACTATTAAAAAAAAATTAGAATATTCCGACAAAACCAATTTTTATTTAATTCCATATTTTTTTATGGTAACAATTAAAAAATTAACTTTAATTTTTCTCCAAATAATTGTATTATAATAGAATCGTACAATTTTTTAATATAGGTATGTATATCTTTTGCTATTTATTAACATTCAAATTTTTCTACATCTTTTAGTATTTTTCGATTCACATAATGATATTTTTTTTTTTTTTGCCAGTAAAAAGGCTTTGACGTTTGACATCAGGTCCTAGATTTACTTTATAAGCATTCACAATTTATATGATTTATATGATTATAAAATAATTATACTAATAATTACACTTTCTTTTCTGTCAAATTAATGTTTAATTAGGTACTATAGGTTATACATTTTAATTATAAACAGACCAATTACATACATATAGGTACAATCATATGATGATGAAAAAATAAAATAATTATCAATGAAAATTATTCATATACCATCCACTTTAGTGTTAAGAATGTTAATCATCTGAACTTTAAAAAGTTATTTCTAAATTAGTGATTTAACAAGTACTGAAGAGTTTTATTACTGAATAGCCTTATAGCTTCTCTAGTGGAGACATCAAATTAAAATATATTTGTATATAGTAGTGTACAACTGTAATCATGATTACTTAATGTCTTCTTTTTAAATACCTATAATTGGTGAATTTTCTAAATAAAAAATAAGTAAAAAATAATATGACAAAATATGAAAATTGTGTAGGTATTTGTTTCTTGTATACTCTTGTAACGTTAAAAAAAATCAACCCCGATTACGTCTCATAATTCAAAAACATTGTATTCGATTTTTATTATTCAGCATTTTCGTAAGAGATACAATCAATTCAACAGTGGTAGTTGCCTGTGGTCAGTTTAGAGTTCGTGATTGTGCATTTTTAAAGATTTCGCTGTTTTGCTCCACTCAGCCGGTGATTGAATCCAGTCGAGAATTACAATTCAGTTGTTACCAGTTCTATTACAACCAGTTGGCTGGTAAGTATTTATTGTTTAATACATCTATATAACATAAAAACAATAGGTGTAATATGTCCTATCATTTACATATATCATCAATATGACAATGGTAAATAATCATCGACATCAACCATTCGTGTCTACTGTAAACTACTCTATTATAAAATATATTTTTGTCCTTCAATTAGATCAATTTACCAAAGCCGATCTTAATATATGGAATAACAATTGGAGAACTGTATATGATTACACATGGAACGAAGGTGACAATTGGACAGTGAATGAAGAGCCTATCGTCGTCGATTTACCTGATGAATTAAATAAGTACGTGGTTGTTATCAGATTGATAAATTTCAAAAGATCGAAAGAAAAAATGCAAATAAAATATAAATTCATTTTTTTTCTCATAGGTACCTGTTACCTAAAAATTCTTAAAGTTATTTACTAATTTTAATTAAATTTATACTATGTACCAATAACTGATAGATTTAAAAATTTCAAATCAAAACTATCTTAGGTTAACTTTTAATTGGCTAATATTTAACTATAGTAGTTCTGAAACTATTTAAATTTAAATAAGGAAGGAATATTTTTTTATTCAGTGGGCCACAGACTTTAAATAAGTTTATTCATACTTAAGACTTATATGATAATATTGTTTCCTAGGTATAGAATTACAAGTGACTTTAAATAAGTTTGTTCATACTTAAGACTTATGTGATAATATTGTTTCCTAGGTATGGAATTACAAGTGAATCCAAAAAGTCAGTTGTACCTCTCACCAAATGTAATCAACAATCAGGAGAAAATTGCTTTGTTGCATTTGGATTTGGAATTGAAGCTTTACGATTTATACAGGCTTTTCAGTCGCATGTAATATCAATTATAATTATTTAAATTTGTTCAGACTAACTAGGATACTTAAAAAATAATTTATCGCCTAATTACATTTTTGATGGAAATAATGTTAATACTATCAATTTTAATAAATTATAAGTTACATATTTAATGACTTATTAGTTATTAGTAATAATACAATACATTAAGTTTTGCTTAAATATCACTGATAGTATTGATTTTATCTTTAATAAATCTATACAAATGTATACAGTCTGTATATCACCTTAGTAAATTAACAAGAAATTGACTATTATTTTTCAGGAGACGGATTTATTGTTAATCAATTGCAATTATAGTGATGGCAAAGACACAAAGGTATTCCCAGAACGAGCAAAATTGTTTGAAACTAAAAAGGTTGAAACAATAATAGGACTACAAATACAAGGCCCACACGCTATAAACAAATGTTTAGCGGTAAGATCCGCCATAAACTATAAAAAAAAAAATTCAAATCTAGATTAAGGAAGGAGGGGCCATGACCCTAGGCTTACTATGAATATCGAACGGCAGCGGGTTTCTAGCAGTTGATGTCTCCTATAATAATTATATAACTAACTGTCTCGTTACGGTGTTACTCGTGTATATTAGTTTCTTTTTTGGTATTTTCGTAGGGTGCGTTAGGATTGGATCACACTATGCAGTATGCGTTTTGTCGGCAACCGAAAAATACTATCCCGGTCAACCGCAATTAGGACGATCGATTATACTGTGCGTTTTATCGGTAACCGAATCCATACAAACGAGATTAAAAAACCCGGAAATCGTTTTTAATTTTAAACTGATTTTATATTCCAACGAAATGTATCTAATATTATAAATAAAAAAAATAACAAAAAGGTCATGTTAGGTAATTAGAATTATTTGTTTTTATTTAAAACATGTACCTATCAACCAATCATACTAATAAAATAATAATATACATCTATATTATAGATTCTATAATATAAATAAAATATAATAATATATAAAATGTATATTACAAATATACTTCAAGTTTTTAATTATTTAAATTTAAAAATGATTATTAATTATTTATAAAATTTTCAATTTCGGTTACCGATAATTCGCGCAAGTGTGATCAGACAAACTGAATTGCATGTGTTGTGCTTTACTTCCCGAAACGCATCCGGACGGTTGGGCCACAACATTTTTTAATTTAATTGTATTGATAGTGTTAATATTACGTTGAATTACAATTTAATTGTGTGTGTGTGTGTGTTAATTGTTATAGCACGATTAGATTTTTATTGGGCTGATGATCGACAGTAAATGAACGCAGCACGTTTTCATTATTTGACATTATTTTTGGGGCTGCACATTAATTGCGTTCCGATTTATAAAAATCGATAATAAGGTACAAGAATTGTGTCCGGCTTTATCTAAAAGACTATTTTATAATTATATTTTTTTCCAGTTCTATTTCAAATGGTAAGGTAAATTTTAAGTAAATTATACTTTTAGTTTGTATACGGGAAGGAAAATTATGTTTTTACGTCTTATAATTTTTTAAATATTAATTTAATTTACATACCTACTTCTAATTGCAAAAAAACGAAAAAAAATCATATTTTTAACCTACCGATAGTTATAATGTGCTTTTGACAGTCTTAAGTCTGTAGGAAAATTATGTTTTTAAGTTGGGACGCAACTCGCGTAGGTACTCGATATTGCCGGGACGCAATTCATGTGGAAAATGGTTTTCGAGACGCAATTCGTTTATGGGTCCATAAAATTGTTTGATCTCAAGCAGTCAAGCCCAAAATTATTTTGATCCAGGCTTGAAAACATTTAGAAGTATTACTAGTATTAACGTATTATAATTTATATTACTTCCAACAACTTACTATTTTAAACTAGTGATGTCAAAAATCTGGATTTTTAGATATCTGGATCCGAAATTTAATAACCGAATAATCCAAATTTTCACATATCTCATGATAATAAAGAAAGATTTTAAAAACATGTTGACGCAATATATAGTATTAAATAATATTATATTTCATGTCATAGAATGTAGATCATGTACCTATTTTTATAAGTAAGCAACAAGTTAAAATATCTGGATTATTTCGATTCGGATTTCCGGATTATTTGAATAGAATGGAATCCGGCTATTAGTGACACCACTATTTTAAATCTTACACTGAGTAAAATATAGCTATAAAGTATCTAGAGTTGTTTTATTTTTATTCATAAAATTTTCTTTAATAGATTTTAGCCAATGATTTTCCTCAATTCACAACAATGATCAGTTCAACAGAAACTGAAGCCAAAGAATTAATTAAAATGTTTTTCGACAAATTTGAGAATGAATTTCAACCCTAATGGTTAATCATTTAAAAATGTATTTTATTTTATTTGTAGTTATTTCATTATCTTGATATAATTTTAATATTATTTTAACGTAACATTGTACATTTTGTTTTCAGAAATTGTTTAATAGCAAATTTTAAATTAATGATAAATGTTTATTTAAGCATAATAATTAATGTATTTTGTATAACTTAATTACATTGTGAATTTATTTAAATTTAGTAAACATGGTAAAAATTATTTATTTTTAAATTATGAATTTATTTTTAGGTAAGAATTTAAATATGTATATATATTTTTTATTTAATGATTTAATATTTTTAATTATATTTATTTATATGTTTACAAATATAAAAACTTAGAGAGAAAAAAGGCTTGATTATTAAAACGACTATAAAGAGGATATGATTGTACAGTTAAGTTTTCTTTTTGTCTTCATACAACTTAGACGAAACAAATTAATACAAAATCACTATTTCCTATTTTTGAGGGTATGTTATATCAATTTGTCTAGAAATTGTCCAAAAACCATTTAATATAAATAATAATAAAATAAATAAGTACTGTATATTATGTATTCAATATGTGCATTAATATGTCAAATGCTCAAAAGTAATATCTACCATAATTTTTATATAGATGGTTTTACTGAAATCACTTTTTATGATTTTGCATGAATGTATTTTATCTATGTTGTGTGTCAGAGAGATAACAAATACTGCACCGACATCCATTTAAGATCTGTTTGGGAAAAAAACCATTAAATAGATCATGCTTTGATGGAAATACCAAGTATTCATTAATGACAATTAGAATATCAAAAATAGCAAATTAATGCATACTAAATGATAGTCATAATATTATTTATTTCAACAATAAACCAATTCTCCAAAAAATATATTAGATTTTAGTTTACTATTGCAGAATAAAAAAAAAATAACTCAGTAAAAACTGATATCATTAATATATCCAGAAAAATTAATTTTAATAAGCAGGCAAAAAAAAAATATATAATTTGTTTATAAGCACATGAATAAAATGTATTATGGAATGACTTAAGAAGACGCCACACTTACATGTGTTGTCGTTGTCTTACAAACAAACAAAAAATTTCATGTTCCCAATAATCATTGTTAATTATAAAATTAAAGTGAATGAATTGTACAATTAAAGGCAAGATTTTTAAGAATTTTATTGATATTTTAATAATTGTTAAGCAATTTAGAAACATTTTAAAACTATAACTGTTTGGTACATTTTAAAATAATCACAACTTGTTTTGAAATTAAAATATAAATAAAAGTTTCAGAGATGCTTTTAATAATAATCTAAATTAAAATTTTATATTTATTAATTCATTCTAATTTTAAAAGTAACACAGTAAAATTGATTATTATGAATGTAATATTAAATATTATGTTGGATATTTATAAGATGAAAACAATATATGTAGGCGTGGTGTTCTCTTAATGATTCGTAATTGTAGATGTTATCATATGAAATCTATTGAGTTCATAATACAGATTTTTATTTGTTTTACGAAAGTATTTAAATATTTTACGTTAATATAGGTAGTTGTTCAAAAATGACTGTTAAAAGTCTTTCAAATATAAATAATAACAATTACATTGTAAATTCAAAAAGGTAATAACAAAAAACTATAACAAGTTAACCCGTGAAATAGGAATTAATATTTAAAGGAATGTATGGTACAACGCAAAGACCAAGAGAAAACAAAATGCTGCCATGACACCAAAAAGTATGATTTTGTGTTGTCTGGAACGTACAATTATGGCATTTATCATTCGGGTACTTCTGCCCAGGTCTGCATTTGCATCTCTGAGCTGCAACAATATAAATCAGGTGTGAAAAATATAAGTATAAGCAAATGTAAAGTGATGAATTAAGTTACCCGATTAAAAGAATTATGCATAGTTTCTCGTTGACGATTTAAATCTGTAAGTATTTGTGAACCAATTTCTTCAGTCTCAACAGCAATACGATAAGTATTATCCAATTGTATTCCTGATTGGTTAAGACGTTCAGATGTATATAATAGCCTCTGTTTTTGTTCGGAAGTTATATCTTCACTTTCAGCAAAATGATTATCATCTTCTGTAATATTTAATTTAAGTAAAAAATTAGAATGAAGCTAAAACAAATTTTGCATAGTGCCTACCTATTTACTATGTAATAGGTATACCTAAATCAATGTTGACCGTACATTTTGCCCGGGCAAACTCCTTGGCTAATCTGTGCAGTTCAGCCCGGTAACTAGCTACTCGATTGTGCAGTTTGGCGCGTACAGACACGTCAGATTCTTTGACTGACAAGTCCATTTGTTCCAACTTGAAAAATATTGAATATAAGTAAAAATACCATAATAAAGGTGTATCATTGTTTATTTAAATGATATTTGTACTAACCAAATCATGTACCTCATCGAGGTTTCGTTCGATTTCTTTGATGTATTCATTTCTATCATCTAAGTATATCAAAAAAAATTATTATTAAAACACAAAACCCCACCTCTTTAAGTATTAGTGTTAGTTATTCTTATTACTCACTGCCAGCTATATGACCAAGTCTGCTGATTTTCGATGTGATCTCAGCACTGGTCACACCAAACTGCTGTTCGTAATCGGCTAATAATTTGCTGTAAAGTATAAAAAGTAGATATTTTGTAGAATAAAATTGCAGGTATCACGCTTTAAAAAAATAAATAATCTAACACGTCCATCAGTGCAGATTCATGGGTTTACTCACTTTTCCATCTGCAGGACATCAACAGATGTGGTTTAAATCAAGTTCATCACTGTCCAGTAATTCGAGGACACGAGAACGAGTGTAAGCAAATAAGAAATATTTCAGACAGAGACTTACAAATAAACCACTACAGCAGCAGGTGGTCGGGAGTTAAGTAAAACACAATTTAAAAACACTCAATAAATTGTGCTCGCTACAGCTAGAAATTGGAATGGTGTACGTCAGTGTTAAGACTTTATACACAGGCTAGGTACACTTAAATCACGGTCGTGGTGGTCGTAGATTCGTAGTTTGTAGTTTGTTGAGTTGTAATTTTTACTGTTCAAGTTGTTATTCAATATTGTACTTGGCATTTGCGAACTTTTCTTTATCACTTTGTAATCAATATAAAGTGACGTCACCAAACGGACCACGTCGTATCACAACAAAAAATAGAAGAGACAAAAATCAGCTGGTATGGCTATCGTGTCGTATGCGATCAACCCAAAATAGAGAATATGAATAATAATATATTAATAACATATTGTATATTAATATTAGTCAATATATATATATATATATGTGTGTGTGTGTGCATATAAACAAATATGGATATGAGCGATATGGCCAATGGCCATGTGGGTTGGTGGGAACTGGGAAGTCTGCTGAAGAATAGGTACGTGTAACCCACAGATGTGGATAAAATCGCAGAAGTTTAGGACTGTAGACATACGCTGCACACTTGACAAAAATACATCCTAGGCACCCACCTATGCTATAGCTTTAGGCACCTACTGTAAACTGAACATGGGTACATTGTTCAATTTAAAAGTAGGAACAACTCATAGTCTATACATAGTGTGCCCCCAGACGTCCCGCATTAGGGTGGATCGTGGATAGTCCCGATTTTTAGACCTACGTCTCAGCTCTTTTGGCTTTTGCCCCGCTTTCACGGAAATCGTTTCCAACGTTTAATATTATTGCATAGATATCTTATAAATTTTCTATAATTATGTGTTTAGGTACTCTGAAGTTAACGAGCAATATTAATATTAATTTGTTGTTTTATACATTCATTAATAATAAACTTATAAAAGTTTAAACGTTGTGTTATTTACATTTTACAAGAAAAAGTATTTTGAATATTTTTTAACTAATATCGTAGTAGAGTAAAATTTGTCTAAATGTATTCAACATTGGTAATAACTAATGTCTCACTTATAAAGTTATAAATAAAACAATAAATTTTAAAGCATAGTTATCCGAAAACTCTAGCGCCGTCATTGCTGCACTCGTCAGCCAGCTTGACCGGCCGCTAGAACTTTGGAAAAGTGACCAGTGTTCTATAATATACGACGTCTATACTTGCTGTATAATTATACATATATTGCATTCATTTGCCATCTCATATTTCCCCGCCTAGTTTATTGTGTTGTCCTGCCGATCAAATTTTTTCTCCTTTTTTAATTCAAGTTTTTCTTGTTAATTGTTTTCTCTAAGGCAAACTGTTTTTAGCTATTGATCCGTTTTTTTCCTCGAAATTGTTTGCATATTGTCTATTAAGCACTGTCATTGATATTTTTTCATTTTTTTTTTCACTATTATCAAACTTAGCCACGTTTTTTTTTCCAAAGGCCAATTTTAATTCATACTTTTTTTTGTTAAAAAATTAATGAGAATACAGTTTGAATCTACAAAAAATTATAGTTTTTTTTTTTATTTACATATTATCGAGTATATAAATCAATGATTACAATGTTAATGACTTATAAAATATCTAAATTATTTTTAAAGCTCGTAAATTACTAGTGAAGAAGATACAGCCAAAAAATAAGTCACATAGTTACCTAGTAGGTAGTTAATTAGAATTATCAAGAAGAACACTACTTACTGGTAAGAGGTAACTGAGAAGACTGTTTGAAAACCGACGTGAAAAAGATTCAATCTGATATACCTACCATGGAAATTAGTAGTTAGTAGTATAAAATAATGGATGTTGACTCTGCATTATAAAGAAATAGAAAAAATGGTCTCAGTAATCGAGAGAAAAAAACTTATGTTTTAATACACTTGCGCTTCGCATAATCGCATATTACACTGAACTAATCCTGTTATTAATGTATTTTGTTGAAATATAACTCATTTTCTATAGATTTAAAATATTGACTCTACTACACCGATATTTATCACCAGTTTTTCAACATTGGAATGTCGAGATAATGCCGTGGCAGATAAGGGAGAACATCAGCAGCATTAATATGAAAAAATAACCTGAAACGTCCTTAACATATACACCATATGGTGATGTATTACTGTATTAGTATTACTATTATAGCAATACTCCGTCAAAGACAGATTATTTACCTTCGATTTCCTGCACTGTGTACATTTTATTATATGAAGGGTTATATACGAGTGTATTTTCACCACGATTTTGCACTTCCAAAGCGGCGATCGATGGGACGTCATATAAATTATTTTTGCTTGATATATTATTTACGAAAAACCAATGGCGGCTCGTGCTTAGGTGTGCAAGTGTGCGTACACCACATAAATTAATACAGATAAAATAGTAAAAATGGATTTTTTACACAATTTTTATACAATTGAAGTTTAACTATAATAATTTATTATATATTATTGTATTACTTAAAAAAAAAAATAAAAATATGTTCACTTAAATTATACTCAAAAATATTACTCCTACAATTTATTGAAGTTATGTAATAAATACATATAATTTGGTGTGCAGCTCAGTCAGAACACCGTTTGTGGTTTATCTGTGTAAATTTGTTAGACGGAGGGTTGACGAAAATGAATGGGACCGTGGTATATGTAGCGATCCACAGTAGCCACAGCGTTCCATATCGATTATTAATTTATAGGGAAAAAACTTGAATTTGTGAGTAAAATTTTTAATTTTTTTTTTTCCGTTAATTAATACAATTTATAATAGATAACAATTTACGCATATTATTAGGTATTATATTCGTAGGTATATAAATTATTTTTTTTAAAACCTTGTATAAACCTTCAACGTCACCTTAACCTATTTTTTAACTGGTACGATAATTGGAGAGTTATAGTAAATCAATCTAAATCACTACACACTACCTTTAATCTTTGCCTTGATCCCTGCCTTAAAGTTTCTTTAGCTGACATACCTATACCTTCATCTCAATCTGTTAAGTATCTAGGACTAACCATTGATCGTCGCCTCACCTGGGCGCAAAATGTAAGGGGAAAAAAACTCGCCTTAAATGTACGTATCCGGTTGCTCAAAACATTATTAACTAATAAACATAGGTACTAAATAAAATATCAAATTGCTTACTTACAAATCCTTAATTAAGCCTATGTGGACATATGGTTTTCAACTATGGAGTAATACCAAAAAATCCAATCTCAACAAAATAAAATCCTACGCTCTATCACCAATGCCCCCCCCCTTATATCTCTAATTTTACTCTCCACTCAGACTTAAAAATAAAAACTATACATGAAGACGCTAAAACGTATTATGAACGTTTTTTCAACAAACTGTCTGATCACTCAAATCCTCTTATATCCGGTCTAGCCACTCAAACAATTCCTAGAAACTCTCAACGGCGTTTAAAAAGAAATTGGTGCAGAAATCTTTTAATGAATAGCGAAAAAAAAATTGATAATAATAATTAAAAAATATATATAGTTACACATATATTTAAGCAAAAGGAAGTGCGATCATTGGATGGTTTCTTCCCTCACCCTATTCATGTTTTTTAATATAATGCAGCACATATTCTTATTATACCTTTGGGTATAGATTGTTTATTCTCTAATTAAAAATAAAAAAAAAAAACAAAACAAAACAACCTTGTATAAATATTTCAATACATATCAACATATTCTACTTGAATATTAGTTGAAAATTACCTAACCTAATCACAAGACTAATTGCCATCCAGGCGTTTCAAGACCAGACAATAGTATTTTTGTTATGATACCCACATGCAATACCAGGAACCGTGCGGCGATCCGTTTCGGTGTACTTCTTTTAAGCCTTTGAATCTTCAAAGAGCTGAATTACCGTTGGCCATCACAGACTCCGTAACATTTCAATCGTGTATTCTCGTCGTCATCACCACCTACATTGCGTACACCATGCACCTAAATATCCTTTTGCAGTCCCTCGCCGTCGAAAAGCGCAGATAAAATGATCTCGAGCAGGAATGATGATTCTCATACTGTAGGGCGTGAACGCGTTTATTAAACAATATTAATTGAATATTTTTGTGATCTACCAAATTTGGTATTGTGTACAATACCAAAATAACAAGCAAATAGATGTCAGAAGCGATAGACAGGGTTCAATTTAATATTAATATGTACTCGTGTCTCGTATACGTATATTGTATTAAGTGCAAATAAAAGCATGATCGATTTGCACCGTACGCTGCGCTCATTGTACCTACCTATCTACCTATCAATCACAGTACCTATACGTTGTTTATAGACAGAGTTATGACGAGGTAAAATGTAATTATCAACTACACAGAATACTGTAGCTATGTAGGTGAAAATATTATTTTTGTTTACATTAACGCCTTGTTTATACATACGATAAGTTTGCATAAAGTATTTAAAACCTTACACTATTCATTTATCTTTTGTTTTACACTATACACCCCATTTCTTCATTTTATTTAATATTTACACCGAATATTAATGTAGCGCATATCCTAAGGCCTAAATTAAGATGTTAAATATTTTACAATTATATGTTTAATTAAAATTTTGGTTAGACTATACGATAAAAAAAACCTCAATAAAACTTTGTAGTTATCAAGAGCTACAATCCAAACGAACCTTAAGAATAAGATGTCTAGATTAAACGAAATACCAACTCCATTATTATTATATACATTATAAGCCTATCATAAAATGAAGCATTCATGCATAACAATGATGGTGATTTTAGATTTATGAATTTTTTAGAAGCGGAGTTTGTATTATTTTAATTCTAGATATCTTAGTTTATCCTGGATCATAACAGCGATTCTTGCTGATAACAAATTTATATCAAGATTTATCATTATAAAATAATAAAACAAATAAATATAGTAAAATATTTAATACTTATATCTGGGGTATGGACAATGATAAAAATGAGGTGTGTATATAAAATATAAATACAAATAATTAATCAAATATTGTTATAGCAAATATCAAGTGTTTTCCGGCGTTTAGAATAGATATAAGCACAGCATTACTGCAGCCTATATATTATTATAATTACATTTCAACTCATCACAACATAGCCCATAGTCCAATCAGCGAATGTTATTGTGCCCAAACCCGTAATGAATACATTAAATCAATTGTTCAGCACTTGATTGATGACAACTACCGGAAAATCGACGATATTGAGCCGGACTCTGGAGACAATGAAAATCACAAAAAGGTATTATAATTGTGGGGCGGCGAACGATGCAAAACATACTTTTAGAATTTTTGTTAAAATTGAGTTAGACATTAAACAATTTGTTTAAAATGGTAATGAATCGGTTGGCGTCATCAGATTAAGACACAACGTACTATTTCTCATTTAAATACCAATATTAAAATAGTCGGTTAGGTTAGGCTAATATACCTACTACTTGGGCATTGCATAATATAAATATTGTCAAAATGAAATATTTACTGTTTGAAGGAAAACGTAATATTTGTTGTAGGTACTGTAATAAAAGTTTTTAAAAAATGTGATCAAAACATACTAATTACATCAATTTTTCCAAATCGTACTATATTCATCGTGATGGAAAATGCGTATTATGCTTATGTAAATGATATTGGAAGAAAAATGTATACATGCGTAGACTTATTGTACTATTTACAAAAATTACTGAGTCTTAAAGTTTTTTTTTTTGTTGTTACATTTTATTAAACTAGATAATTTTAATATATTATGGTAAGGGTTTTCTGATAATCATATTATTGAATTGCCAACACAAATTTTATACACAAAAAAAAAAAATCGTTTATAATTTGATACTTTAATTTATTATTATGCCAGCTAAAACTTTGTGATAAGTTTTAAACAATGAAATTAAATCGTGATTTTAAATGTATTAATTAATAACATTAATATTTATTAATTAATCAATGAATTGTCGTAACTTTTACTAGTTACTTCTTTTAAAATTGATTTACATCTAATTAATTTATATTTTTTTAAAATTTAACTATATCGAAGAGAATTGAGTTTATAATAGACAGAGCGAAAAACAAGATAAGTATCTATAACCTACAGCCAGTAAAATAGTATTCAATTCATAAAAAATAACATGTCAGTAATTTAAATCTTTTACATACCACCAATTTTATAATAAAATTATCAATTGATATTTTATTATTTTTATGACTATTAGGAATATCCTCAGGTAATTTATGCTGAGCAGCAGAGTATCATAATTATTAATAATATTGAAAGAAACAAGGTAACATGTTTTTATAATAATTGTATTTTCTGACCTATTAATTTATAGATATTATATGTACATAATATCTAGAATAGTAATAGTAATCTATATTGCTGTTTTAATCGCATTGTATTAATTACTAATTATTAAATTATAGTTATCAAAAGATTTTAATCATGGACCACTGACATTAAGTTTTCTAAAACATATAGAAATTCTGAATCACTTGTTTCTAAAGATTAATCGTATACACTGTACTGCACAATAGCTACAGGTTTCAGATATCAGTATTAACTTTTTAATAGTTACCTACTTTATTTTATCTTATAATTCATTAATTATTTACATAATAACAGTAAATTTAAGTTAACATTTATTTATAAGATTTTAATTCAGTAATATTTTTTATCATTATTTTTATTAATAATCTGCAGTTAGATATGTAAACTATTTAAATACAAAAATATTTTTGTTGGATATAAAACTATAAATTATTTTTCCAAAAACATTATTTATACTGTTTAAAAAATAACTATTTTTACAAAGGAATAATTTATTTTAAAAATATGGTAAGTACCTTGTATTTTATTGAAATAAATGTTGAAGTCTTACTAATTTTATCATATTATATTATACTAAATAATAAATATACCTTGTTATTTACTAGTCAATAAACCACAAGAATGCAATTAATACATACTAAAGTAAAAGTTTGAATACTTGTCAATATAATACAAATTAATACATTATTATTAATAATTAATATTATTATATTACATATTATAATATTTTTAATTAAATTTGTTTGATTTTAATGTCTAATATTCCTTATGTTTTGTAGGATGTAGATAACTACTGAAATGATCGATTTGTTAGTAAATTAAAAATTATTTATTAACTGTAGAAAACGAAGTAGTTAATATTTAAAAAAAATTAAAACCTATATTATATTATATACAGTAAAATAAAATTCACTTTTTTTTTTATTAAACGTTTTGTTATGGTTACTCATACACATTTATTAAAATTCTAAACAATATTAGATTTAACGGACTTAATATCATATCATACATAATAATATATTAATTAATATATTATTATAGATAATATTATTCAATAAACCAATCAAAAACTAACCATGTAAAGATACCAAAGCAAAATGTTGCTAAGAATTTATTGACATTTTTGGCTAGTCCTGGAGATTACATAATTTTATGAAGATCATCTTCAGAAATAGTGATGAAGTTGAAAAAGAAGAGCTAAAAAATGTGTACAATGAAGAAATTGAACATATCATTTTTTATTTTAGTGTTTAATTCATACATAATAATATAATATATACATCACTTGGCATATACCTACAGTGCAGTCTTCCGCGGAATCAATAAAAAAAAAAAAAAAATGTCATAATATGTACAATGTACATGTGTATCGTTTATTTTTTATATATTATAAAATTAAAAAAAAATTCATTATGTTATATGAATGCTTAAATAAAAATAAAACATGCTTTAATTTAATTTTCTTTAAATATTATTTAAAATTACATGATTTAATTTTTTTAATAATACATTTATATGTAATTATTGAATTTTGATTTTAATTTTAATTATGCGAATTATCCGCGGAATTCGCTTATTCATGGATGCCAAGCCGCCCTATTCTGTGAATAATCGAGAATACACTGTAATATATTTCTATTTGTATAGTGGGCTAGCAGGTTAAGTGTTTCAACATAATTTATTTTTTTAAATGTTAACTATATTTTAACTTGTTCAAGAGGGTGTTTCTCTTAAGTATTTTATTTACCCTCTTTTTTCTTGAAATTGAACATTTTAAGTATTAAAAACTTAATATTTTTATGTTATCTCTATTTTACTTATTCAAGTCCGAAAGTGTTCCTCTTTAATATTTTATCTATTTTGTTTTTACTTATTAAAAGTTAGTGTAAACGTGTCCTATTAAAATATATTATATAATATGTATTCCTTTACTTTATCTAATTAATAGATACTACTTGTTTCCTGTGGTTTATATTTTCATAATTTAAAAAATGTTAATTTAATGAGTGTTTGTAAAGTGTGAGATTACGTCTTTCAGATCTAGTTGATCAACTTTTTTTGAAAATACTACAATCTGTACAAATATACAATAAGTAATAATTATGCGGGAGAAAAAAAAAAACTAAAAATGAAAAATAGCATGATAGGAAATCTCATATTAGAAACACCAAGGTCCAAATGGCTTTAAATTTACAGTTTAAACATTTTTTAAATTACGGCACCAGCTCCACTTGAGTTGTCTGGTCGAGTTTCTGGGTAATGCGGGTATAAGCTAGATCCCTCATGAGTGATGAGCTATTTGGAGTTGGATTAGAGTTTTACGTGGAAGCGTTTGTAATATATAAAAGCAGTTTCGTCAGCTGAGTGGATCTTAAAGTCAGAGTTTATTGAATTATAAGAGAGATACTCGTGTATCAGGGTGCTCCAATAATTATTATGCGACAGCAGATATTCCAAAAGACTTGGATAGTCCTTTTATTTATTTATTTATCGCATAAATTATACAGAAGTTGTTGGAATAGTATTTATGATTGAAATGATTAAGGCTTGTTTCATGTGAATGTGTTTTGTAAACGTATATTATAATTTAGATTTTAGTTAAGTTAATTATTATCAAGTGTATATATGTATGTGTGTATGTATGTGTGTGCCTAATGATCGGTGATAAATCAAATATTTTGATATTTCATCTTTTGATCGTCATTATTTTGCTGACTATTTGTAATAAAATAAATTATCATCATCATTTGCATAATCCTTATCCGTACGCTTGGTAAGTGGGGTAAATGTTCTATCTAATGGTTTTTACCTATATCTATACCTTCCTAATACAATTCCATCAATTTGTGTAAGACTAAAACAACTCCACATTGCATATTATGATATGTTTTTTTTCCATCAAAGCTGAAAATAACTGTTCCACTATCTGGTTTAAATCCAAAGATATAGAAAAATCGCTTAGCTGATGTCTTAAACGATCTATTCTTGAACAAGTTTTTAACGTTAGGTCTATCATAGACCATAGGTTACTTTTAGTTTTAAATGAAATTTAAACGGGTTTTTTTCTGATGATAATTTTAATACTTTAACTAAATCAGATTTAATTGACGCAAAAAAAAATAAATTCTAGTTTTGATATTATTTATGTTTTTTGCAAAATAATGAACAGCTAGGTAGTCTATTAAAGGCCGAAATGATTTCGACAAACTTTGGTGTGTTTACCATAACCAAATGCCTCTATTTGAATTTCTAGTTGTTTTAATGTTATCAGCGCGAAAATGTTTGATACCTACGTGAAAGATCTATAGATAAAAAATAAAATTAATGTCATACTTATAATATTAAAGTAAAATGTATCTTATATAAAAATCTTTGAATTAAAAAATAAAAATAGTTCACTTACGTACATAATATTAAAAAAAATCTTCAGAGCATATTTTATCATCGTTATTCTTAACGCCGTTTAACGTAACTACGTCTTGTGCCTTTGATATAAGTACATTTTGGCACTGGTTTGAGGGCCTTACTTGCGCGTCTGATACAACAAATATTTGCGGAGTAGTCTTTAAAAGTTAATTAAATAATTAAAAAATACGTGTATCAATTGTAAAATTATAATATTATGTTTATGTACATTAAACATACCATAATCGTTTCGCATATGCTTGCTTAAATGAGCTTTATTGTTGTGAATAGAATTACTAGCAGTGCACAGAAAACGAATCTCCTCAAGAGTATTTTCATGTTTTACCAGATTGTCCTTGTTTGTAAATGCAAATACGCACATTGCCTGCATTTAAGTATATCAAAAATAAATTTAAACGACATGATGAAAATGTATAACAAGTGTATCCTTGTTATAAATGCTATAATAAAAATATAAGTACTTTAAAATAAAGATTACAAAAAGTAAAAACGGAGCGGACGTGAAATGTATATGTGTACAACAAACAAGTATAACTTGACAATTGAGACAGACATTGATCAGCTGTTGACACTTGTTGGACCAGATGTCTGAATTTGATATATATTTTGGAGGTAATAACATTTTAAGTCATGTTTACTAAAATATTTGGATTTTTACCATGTCATATACATAATTCATGTAATATTTTCGATTATTTCGGGTAGGGAGTCATTTTTCGACCGATGGGTTGTTTCAATACATGACATTAACAATAAATACTATACACCGTCAACAGAAATGTTATGTACGTGTTACTTACGACAGACGATATTCAAGATCTACCCGAATGTTACAAGACATGATACTCACAAGTCACGATGGAAATTGTGTTGCCATTATCATTTCGTCCAGTATATACTACTTGCGTCCGAGATTATTATCAGTATTCAGTAGATGATTCAAGTCCTACCAAAAAAGGTTTAAAATTTTAAAATCATCATAGCCTATATGCGTCCAAGTGCAACTTTTTAGTTAGCTTAGTTGCGTCCCAGCATGAATAATACAAAATGATATAATCGTCAACTGTCAACTATAATTAAAATCAAATTAATTAAATACATTTTTAACTACAACATAACAAAAGTAATCGGAAAAATATTCTAAAATGTATTTTACAAGATTAAAGATGTTATATACATGTGTATAAATAATATAGTAATATAGAAAATTACTAATTACTTTACTTAAATAATTTTAGCTTAAATTTGAGTGAAATGTTTTTTATTTTAGATGTATAAAAGCTAATTTTTTTTTTCTGAGTATTTTTGTTTTTTATTTAAATAGAAAATGTTTTGGTATTTATTGTTCTGTAGTCTTTTTTGAGTATATTTATATTATTCATATCAACATATAAGTAAAAATTTGTAGTAATTTTAAAATATTTATAAATTTATTTATATTTGGATGACTTGAGTAAAAAATGAGTTAAATTTGAAATTAAATGCTTTACATGCAAAAATATCTATAAAATTACACTTAAATTTTTTCACTTTTTCACATATGGTATATACCTACCTTACATCATTTTAAAAATGTTTTATTTTTTATAGTTCATTTTTCCGTGTATAGGTAACTGAACTATTTTCGATTACATTAATAATAATAATACCATACCTATACTAATTACCTACTAAATATTAATAATTTAGCACAATAATACCAGATTGCATGAACAATCATTAAACATCTAATGAATCAATAAAGAGTTAATAGTCCTTTTAATATGATTCAGTGGCCCAAGACTAGCCCATTCAAATTTATTAAGCCATTAAATTAATCAATTTTTCATGCAACCCAGTATAAGTATTATTATACTACTTTAAATTGGATACATCCACATTACATATTTTATATAGTGAGATGTTTTGGTCTTTTGCTTGTAGTCATATGTATATATATATAGACTTCCTTATAATGCTATTATTATTTATTATGTATATATATATATTTATAAATATAAGCAAAGCGTTATTTAAGCGACTGTGGTAGTAGTATACCAATACACAAGAATATGAGTTACCTAATTATAGTAGTACTAATAAATTATAATAAAATGTTTGCCTCAAAACTTTAAATATTATTTAAATACTATAATATTATCTATATGTATAACATTTTATTTGTATATTAAAATACATACCTATTTCATTAATTATTTATTTAACTATATATAAGGTATTAACGATTACCTACATTTTCTTTTCAAAAGACAGTAATATTTTTAATTAACCCTATACATTCAGTACAGTTTAAGTATTAGGATTTATAGCTTGTTCTGGATTCTGAGTATATATGTATTTAGTGGGTCACGTCTACAACTAGGAAACATCGGTATAAACTCTGCTAGATACTTCGACTATTCTCATTTTGATTTCCTTAAGATTATTGTACACCACTTGTTCTGGACATTTTTGAAAAAGCTATGTGAATTTTATAAAATGTTTAAGATCAATTATCTATAATTTATGGATCAGATAAAACAAACATAGGTAGGTACGAATGGTACGATAATGTCTCTTATTAAAAAAAAAAAAAAAATAGAAACGCGCTTACAAAATCAAAGTTAATTTAGATATTATCATGGGTATAATTATTGCATTGACCAAATAAAAAATAGATTAAAAATGTAAAAACGTTTATAAAATAATTAAATGAATAATCTTCTCAAAAAAATATATATGAAAATATGAAATGTACATGAATCGTTGATACTCATATATGGTGCGTGTATGGCAAAACGATGAAACATTTACGGCTCATGACGGAGCGATAACAGACATTGTTAAATTAGGATTGAATCAAATAAAAATGAATAGGTAGGTACTGTAGTTAAAAGAAAAATAAATAAATAAGTTAATTAATGTGTGATAGACTGTTAGGTATCTACTGAGGTGTGCCATGGATTTCCCAACACTGCTCTCCGTATATGAAGAGGTAATAAATGTTAATTCTTCCCTCCTATAGTCAAGCTTCAAATATGCTAATGGTTTATACTCTGTCTATGATATACTCAATGGAAGACGTAAGCGCAAAAGTCGTATCGTACAAATGCGCCAAAATCGTAGGTGGCTAAGGTAAACTATTTAAATTTAGAATTACATATGTATATCGTTTAAACACTTCAAACGTTAAATCTTAATCGACAAATTTATTATATGATTATGATAGATTGTCACAGACAGTGTGTGAGCAGTTTTGTGTTACCTATACAACTAATTGTTACTACCTATTTCGTAAGCATTCGTTAAAATGAATTTTACAAAAACTATTACCTACTGATAAAGGTATTGCGTGAATTTTATGTAAAGATCAAAAATATAGATTTTTACGAGAAATGGCCAGCGGTAATGTGTTATTGAGGTGTACCTACTAAGAGAAATAATTGTAAAATGGAAGAAATTACCAGTATGGTGAAATAAATTGTATGGAATATGTAAAAAAATTGGATAAAAAAATTAACCAATTAATTAAAATTATATTTATTTGTATGTATATTATAGAAAATTTTTTATAAAATTGAAATATCAAACGATACCTTTGGTGCTTATGTCATACAACCGTTATACTTTGTACAAGTAATAGTGTCTACTGCCTACCTACTTATAGCATTGATTATAGAATATTCTATAATCAATGCTTATAGTAAATAATTCAATGCACTATGATGATTCCGGATTATTATATGGGAACTGGGAAGATCGACCTACCAAATTAAAAATCGTAATATGGTACCTATATCTACTACCTATTGACAAATTGAAAAAAAATTAATACTTTAAAAAAAGTAAAATTTGCTTATTTTTTGATTTATCCAGTCTAAAATGAATTGAGTACGACATATTTTAAATCAAATAATATTATTGTTTAATTATTATTTTTTAACAAATATAACCTTGCTTGATGAGATCGACTGTGGCCTATGTTATTAATAGGTAGGTATATTTAAATTGTTGTAGTCTCCACTTCCATTAGTCTGACTGAGAGCAGTGTTCATCCGTTTATCAGCGTTATCACATTATCTCCACGACTCACTGTGATAAGAATAATACATTGCGTCTTGCGAATTGCGATCAATATAATATTATTACATGGTACATACTATATATTAAGTACTTACTTAATAGATGATCTCAGCTGAGGTTGTTCGACGCTCGTGGTCTCTCTTTTCGGTCTATTCTCTCATTAAAAGTGATTGTTTTTTTTTTTGGTCCTTCGTCTGAAGACAATCATTCACGTAAGTACTGGTTTTCATTAGTAAACTTGTATTTTATGTAAAGAAATTCACGTCAAATGATTCTGAAAATTTAATTTTTTAACCCTATTAATTTTTTTAAAATTTTTTTCCTAAAGTTTGTCATGTCGTTGGAAAAAGAAGATGGTGCTGTGGAAAAACTTATGGAGGAGGGAAAAAAGAAAGTGGATAATGATGGCGACAAGTATGATGAGCTAAACAAATTGGAGTTATCCGATCATGCAGAAACTGCATACGCAGGCATGGGTAAAGAAGAACTCATGAAGTATGCTAACAGTCCATTTTGGGTGCGACTAAGGTGGTTGTTGTTTGTTACATTTTGGCTTTCATGGTTTGCTATGATGTTTGGTGCACTATTCATCATATTCTTCACTCCTAAATGTTTCCCGTCTTCTAAACATGAATGGTATCAGAAAAGTCCAGTCTACATTATTAATGCATCTTCTCTTGCCAATGAAAGTAGTAAGTTGTCACTTTTAATCATTTTATGTAGCTTAAAATTAATAAAAAAAAATATAGAAAATTTTTTAAAACATTATATATTATTATTGTTCAATTAAAATTACTATACAAATAATAATAGAAGTTTTACTTTAATCAAATTGATAGACGTTTGTAATAAACTTATTCATTTTATCTCTAAAGTACTATTTATTTATACAGATAAATAAACATACACCCACATGAAAAATAAATCATTGACATTTATACTTGGGGTGTTAAGTTTACAGATTTATACTTAATAACTCAGTATTATTATTATTATTATTTTTTTTTTTTTATGAAATAATGTATATTTCTTTAACAACTTATAAAGTATCTATGTCATAAATTTAAGTTATTAACTAATAAATAGGCATTTATTATTTTCTGATGCAATTATCAGATTTATATGATGACATTTAAATGATTTTAGATCTCAGGATAATTGTATTTTTTATCAGTAAAGAAAATAACTTAAGCTGTCAGTAAAAAATTGAGTACCAGTGGATTTAAAACTATTTTAATATTATTATTTAAACAGTAAATGATCAACTGCATATGATTCAAGTAATCAAGATTTTTAAGTAATTAAATACAGGATTAATATTCCTATTGACAGTTTTAATAATGTAGATATTATATACACAATTGACAACAAAATGTTGTTTTATCTTCTTAATTATCACAAAATAATATTACAGAGTAAAATACCTTTAATAAAATGTATATTCATTATTTTAATTCATAGTTAGAACCTTTTGATCATACAACTATTCAATAATAATTTTAAATCAAAAACAACTTTAAAAGGACAAACAATTATGCTATTTAAAGTATTTATTGTTGTTTTGTATTTGTATATAATAGAATAAATAATTGAAAGTGTTTATCATTAATAATTTTAATTTTGCTTTATGTATGCATAAACAATGTACTATGTTTTAATATATTGCACATTTTATTTTTAATTGTTAACCATTATTTATTAAAAATATTATTTATGTTTAATATGTTATACTTATTTATTAGTAATTAGTAATAATAATTTAAATTATTTTTAAGATTTTGATGAGAAAATTGAATACCTGCAAAACTTGGGTGTTCAAAATGTAGTATTGACATCAGTGTTTCAAGCTGATGGAGATAAAGTTATAGATTTTAAGCAAGTAAATAGTTTTTTGGGAAATAATGTAACAATGAAAGATCTAATTAAAAATTTAAAAACTAAAGGTACCTATATTATTAATAATCTAATTTATCTGCTAAAATATAAAAATAAATATTTTGTTACTCTAACATTCTTTTAGGTATGAAAGTAATGTTGAAATTAGTTCCTAATCATTCTTCAAAGTTAAACGTGATGTTTGTACGATCAGTTCTAAAAGAAAAATATTACGACAATTATTACATTTGGAATCCTGGTAAAGATATGGGTGATGATAAACATTATCCTATTAACAATTGGGTTAGTAATTTTTAGTTTTTTAGTTTATTATTAAATATTGTATTAATTTTTCTTGTGAACCGTAATAGTTGAGTGTAACTGGAGAATCTGCCTGGAGTTGGGATGTAAATCGAAAAGAGTTTTATCTTCACAAGTTCTCTGCAGATGAGCCAGACTTTAATTTCCGCAATGAAGATGTTGTAAAATATTTTGAGGTATTTAATTTGTTTTTGTATTTTCAAAAACATTTTTAAATTTTGTATGATTAATTGTTTTAGGAAGTGTTTAAGTATTGGTTGGATATGGGAGTTGATGGATTGTACTTGGATAAAGTTCAATATTTGTTTGAGGATAAAAATTTAAAAAATGATACTGTTATTACACCAAATATGAACTTAAAGTATGATTCTCTTAATCATAAAGCCACATCTAACCTTCCAGAAACCAATGAGTTGTTATCACGTTGGGGTGATTTAATAAGAAATTATTCTGGGTGAGTCAAATTATATTAATTATTTAATAAATAGTTTAAGTTATTTTACTTTAACAAAAACAGCCAAAAGTTTGTAAAAAATTAAAAAGCAGCAAATATTTAATAAACTTGCAAACAAATACAATATAAAAAAATTTAACTTGATGAAAATATCTATTTACATATTTAAGAATAATTTATATTTTATGGTTATTAAATGGTATCTTAACTTTTAATTATATTATTTATAATCCAATAAAAACCAACATTTATAAGTAAATTATTAATTTATTATTATATTTTAATGACTTAATTTGAAACATTTATTATAATTGTTTTTATTTTTATCTTATCAAATAATAAATGTATGTTTTAAAATGATAATTATGAACAAATTATAATCTTAATATTTGGCAATTTTATATTAAAGAATATTATATTGATAAATTAATTCTTAAATAAATGAATTTGTTTGTTCAATTTTCAGAGTATTGATTGTAAGTGACCTTGATTCTAAGGATATTAAAGGAATAAATATGATTCATAGTTCTGTGCCTTTGACATCTAATTTTACTGGAGAACAATTACTTCATGCTATTTTATCTAAAACAACTATGCCATCTTCTTCATGGTCTTCTTGGGAAGTAAGTTAAAAATAATGTGTACTCTTAATTAAATAATGATGCATTTTTAATTTATGTAGTGGGTATGCACTGATAAACCAAATTGCTGGAAAAATGAAATGATTGATGCATTCAATATTCTTGGTTCATTGTTACCTGGTGTTCCATTTATTAATGCTGACCCTAAAATCTTTGAAAATAACAATATACCAAATATAACATTTATTCAAAGCACTCTAAAAGAATTACGGTCAATGCCTACGATTGAATTTGGTTCCTTTAATGCCAAACTATTAAATAATTATACAGTATTCGCTTTTGATAGGTAATCAAATTCATACATTAAAATATTATTTTTATTTTTAAGTTAGTTTTTAAATTATATTGTTTATTTTAGGGTAATGAGTGGTTCAGAAAGCCTTTTATTTGCCTGGAATTTAAGTCAAAATGTTACTGTTCTAAACTTAAATTCATTTGATGGAATTCCTGCAGAAGTAAATTTATCACTCTGTACTGAAACTGCCTGCTCCATACTTCCTTCTCCTAAGTAAGTTTTAGTTATTGTTTTATAAATTAAAGTAATTATATAATAAAGATAGTTGAAATAAATATTAGATATAATGACTTAAATCAAATATGACTAAAATAATTTGATTTATAGGTTCTTTTTAGAAATTGGATAGTTATTAGTTATATTTTATAGAATTTTCTCAACTCTAAAATTGATATAGACATAATAACTTTTTTATTATTATTTTATTTTACAGCTAGTTAACCTTAGTACTTGCTATACATTTATATTTATGGTTTATACTGTAAATACAAGTGTTATAAATCTCTTAATATGTTTATAAATTTAAAACTCAGACAGATTTCTTGTATTCTTTTATAATTTAAGTAATAAAAGTGAGATTTTATTTTAGTGTAGGCATTTGATCTTTTATGAAAGTGTTTTTTTTTTTAGTATATCAAAATAATCTTGAATAAGCAAGTATGGTTCAATTATGTTTTAAATGATAATGGATTTATTATTTTTAATTAACAGGAAAAATTAAATTATTGTATTTATGCTATGCTTATTCAAAAAAGGTATGTTTTAATAAATGTAAGGTTAGGTTATATATATTAATCTTATGCAATGAACTTTGTATTTATATACTAATATTATCTAAAAATGTATTCATCGATATATTGAAATACTTATAACTATTTATTTGATAAGAGTGGTTTCTAATAATTAGAGTAATTTATTTTAAATAATCATTGAGTTAATAACTAACAGACAATTGTTCTGTGAAAACTAATTTCTGATACTTCAATAATAAACCGATTAATGATTATATATTTCATTATAAAGAGGTCTGACGTTGTATTTTGATTAATTAGAAATATTTATGTAGCTATAAAAGCATTTTGTCAGGCAATTAAAAAAGAAGAAGATGTAAATACATTGAAATCTGAGCTTAATTTTATCAATTGCCTAACTAAAGTTTCTTACATTATTAAATTATATATTGTTTGATTATTAAAATAAATAAAGTATTTTTTTATTCAATGAAATTTATATTTTGTTTTAGTTCAAAAGTCAACAGCAATGAATTGAGGCTTGCTGGTGAATCTGCTGTGGTTTTGACTTTTTAAATGGTTAAATATGCCTAGCATATTAATAACATTTATTGAAACCAGTGAACAAAATCATTAATCTTTTGCTTAAGTATTAATATTAATAATAATAACTTATTATTTAATTAAATTTTATCTCACTAGTTATTATTTATCCCTCTACTCATAAAATTATCAATTATCTTGTAGTACCTAATGAAAAATCTTACTACTTGAATACTTGATGATACCTTTGTAACAATATTATCATTACTGACATTAAAATAATTTGAATATAATATATTGTTTTTATTTTTTTGTACCACTATATATTATAATAACCATATAGTATATCAAATTCAATCTAACAGAATAATTTTACATTTTTAAGGGAGTGTAAAAGACAATGATTGAACTAAATTAATAAACATTTCTGTTTTCTGTTAATGTTACAATAATTCTCGAAATGTTAATTATTTTTGTGTTTACTATTAATTCCATTACTTATTAGCTATTCCTATTTTAATTAACCATTAAATCATAGTATCAAAATACAGCATTTCTAGTGTAGTCATGTATTTTATGATTTTGAAATAGAATTTTAAAACGGATAATTTTCTTATATCATAGATGCTATCAAAGTACAATTAATAAAATTGTATAATTTATTATAAAAATGAAATTATAGCAGACTAGAACTAAGAAAACTTTTTGTTTCCTAATTTGTGCTATATTATCTTTAAAAAGTATTTAAACATTTTTTAAATACATCTATGGACACTATTGTAAAGAAAATTTACAATAGAAAAATTGAACTTCGTAAGTGGTTTCTGGTAGTAAATTTGAAATAATTGGTACTAAAGGAGTTTAAAAGTAAAATAATTACAATAAACTAAATTTTATTAATTAATAAGAATATTTGAAAAATTATAATGGAAATTTTATTTACTATAACAATATCATCATAAAAATTTGCATTTTGTTAAAATTATGATAATTTGCTTATTATTTTAGTTGAATATTTTCAATTTTAATAACTAAAAACGAAAAAACTGAATTTAATGTTTTTCTTACTTATTAGTGGTTTTTATCACAATAAAAAAATCTGAAGTTTAAAAGTGTTTTTTTTATTTTTTTTTGACATTTTAATTTTAAATATTTGATAAAATTAGACACTTACATGAAAAATATGATTTTAGTTGTTTTGTTGTTATAATTCAAAAAACATTATTTGTACTTTGTAGGGACTTGTTATTTTTCACCTTTAAATATTAATATATCCACTATTAATAGAGGGGTCATTGTTTGTGAGCTATGCAAAATGTGTGAATTATAAATTTATAATTTTTCAAGTAAGTAAAGTTGGGATTTATTTTATTTTTGTGTTAAATTTATAAATAATAGGTTATATTTAGTTTATTTACCAATTACGTATTTTGTAAGCATCATCTATTTCAAAAATGTTAGGTTCATTTTAATTAAATTTATAAAAGTTTGTTAAATTGTTTATTTGTATTAAAGTATGGTTAAATAAATATTTAGTTCTAGCAGCTACTTATAAATTAAAACAACAAATGAATAAACTTAGCTTTAGAGAGCTGTAATCAAAATCGATGATTTGATCATAACAATTTAAAAAAAATAGATCTACTAAAATCCATTAAAAAGATTGTGTTGCGTCGCCGGCTATTACCTAGCATTTGGCCGGGAAGACTACAACGGAATGTTGTTGGAATAACGTAAAAATAACTTAATGACAATATATAATACGTCGTGCATAAATAATATAATAATAACGACTATAATATGGTATATAATAAATAATAATGGGCGTCCAATCCAATTTCCAATACAATGATAATAATAATAATAATAATGATAATAATAATAATAATAATAATAATAATCACGATGGAAACCGTTATCAGCAGCTGGAGACAACATACACGCCGATACTGTTCACGAAGATGAAATTATATAATAGGTACATCCGCTCGGCCGCCACGCGTGTCGCAGGCGACAGTAACAACCAAAACGTCCGGGACGCCAACACCGCCGACCAACGGAACAAAATCGGCACCACAACATACCGTGATGTGCGTTAGCACAGGGCCGAAATCAAAACCTACGTACACTTAAACGGCGAACCGCGCAATACGTTGCATTTGCATGCGCAACAGCACGAGCCGAGGTGTTTTCGGCACCGGCGAGGGCAAAGAACTGTTGCGGCTGGACGACGACCCTTTATCTAGTGGCGACAAAAGCAGATACGTGTCGGTTATCTACCTGAGTGAACCGGTCCCCGGCGGCGATAAGTCACGACACGTATCAAGTTCCAACAGATTGGTTGTAATTGTTAATGTACTATTACATTGTAGGTACATACATTTTTTAAATTATTTGTTAAAAATAAAGAAATGTGTCTTTTTTTTTTTTTTTAATTCCATATTACTGGTGATTGATTAATACAATTATTGAGTATAGTAGTACCATTGATTATAAATACTATTTATAATCAATGGTAGTACTAGTACATACAAGATATGTGTCTTAATACAGTCATAATATAAATATATTATATATCGTTACCACGAAAAAAACAAAAATGAAAATACCTAATAAAGATAGGTACTATCAAAGTTATATTTTATAGTAAAGCACGAGGTATTCTGGTATTTATTATTGACGTAATGGTGTGAAAATATTTTCACGGGTAGATTATAATAACAAATTAATACCTATTGACTATTTGTATCGTATTATGATAAGTAGGTTACTGTTAAACTTTTCTTTAATTAGATATCAATAGATAGTATTAAAGAAAATGATTTTTTGTATGTATATACATACTTCAAAGTTAAAACTAAATTAAAATTACTGTTATAGTTATAATAATTGTGCGTAGATATAAGGTACCTTGATAAGTTTACATTACTATTTAGGTGACACAATGGTAGTAGTGTAGACGCAATAATATCTTTTGGACTTCTTGGTTCAATGATTTCAGTGTGATAGCTTTATCCATCTTTCCATTGCTATTTTATACGAGATGATAAATGCTTTAGTGGCATATTGGAGTAGGTAGGTACTTAAGAATTGATTTTCTAGTTTCTAATGAGTACACAAATACCTATTATTATTATTAAAAACTCATTACATGTTTCTACGTCATAATAAATTATAAACACACACATACATAGGTACCTAAATAATTATTTGAATCTATGTTTTTTATACTACCTATATTAAAGCAGCGCGATTATTTTGAATAGGTATTGAATCGGTATATTTTCTCAGTATTATCCATAGTCCATAAACGGCATAAACCTATTAATTAATAACTATTAACAAAACTAGTTAATAGGTTTATGAATTATCATCCTACTTATTAACACGAGTTATAATAATTATATATAAAGTAAGTTTTATATTTTTTTTATTGAAATTTAAATAAGTAATTAAAAATCGTGACTATTTATTTTGTTTTTTCAAGTAGAAAAATAACAGAAACAAAAAATGTCAATAGTAATACAGTTAAACATTTTAAACTCCACGTATTGCAATCGAAATATCAAAAGAAAGTGCCTAGCAAGCTTTAAAGAAAATATTTTATGATAATAAGTAGGTAAATTTATGAAAAATTACCTATTTAAAATAATTTCGCCGAAGAGAAGTGAAGAAAATATTTACTATTTACATTTAAGTATCCCCAAATTTTTTGACTTATTACAGTTGTATTATAGTTAACTACCTTTAATAAAATAGAAGTGTGCTCGGATGTTGGTGCTTCTGATAGTTTTAAGCTAACAATCGGCCCGAAAACAGATGTATTAATCTTCGACCAAGGTTTTGATCGTTCTCTACTTCAGTCTCAATAACTGTAATTAATGGCGGTTTATCGTCAACAATTTATCGCTCCTATAACAAATGAAATTCACTGTTCCTATCCAAAAATTTACTTTTATGTTACTAAATATCCTTAAATAAATTTATTTTCTCAATAATATGCAATTATTTTTTTTATTCAAGTTAAGTTTAAAAAAAAAAGTTCAAATTAATCAAACATAACTATTATGATCTGCTATTTATTTTTATATAGTAAAAATGTATACAAGAAAAATTTAATAATATCAATACTTTACGAGTGAATATACTTATTGACGGACAGACAGCCATCGACATCAACTAATTTAACTATAAACGGATAAGCCTTAGAATCGAAGAAATGTCAAAGAATAACGTTGGAGTATTAAAATATAAATAAACTATAAACCCGTGCCGATTACGATTTTATAAAGCGAATGTTTATATAATGAAAAAATTATTATACCTATATTCTATAAACAATTAAAAAGGCTAAGATAAAGCATAACCGTCTAGTCATTGACGAGTTCCTGGGAAAAAAAAAAATAAAAAAAATATTACTTTACTAAAAATAAACGAATACAAAATCCAATTACACCGTTCAAGATGTTGAAATAGAAAATAAATTAAAAAATATGTAAGTTCATGACAACATAAACAAAATAAATATTCAATATCAGTGACGCCGAACCTATACATGAACTGAAGCGATCGCTTCATATAATAAAGAAGGTGGGTGGTTTTATTTGTATACGTGCTTTTGTTTTTACATTACATTTATAACTGAAATTATTAGTTATTAGAGGTAGACTACATCCTCAGTATGGGGTGGGTGGGTGTGTAAATATTTTGATTTTGCTTCAATTAAATTTATATGACTCGGCGGTATTGTTCAATACAATTTTACCATCCTCCAAAATTTGTCACCCTATGCGGTCGCACAGTTCGTAATGCCTTAAATCCACCCTTGATTACAGTTCGCACCACCTTTGGTCATTGTCGTGTACAATGTAAGTCAATGTGTGAACACACTTCACGACATATTGTTTGACAAAAACATATCAAATTTTATCACAATACAACCAACGGATAATAAGCAACTAACGTATAGGTATCAATTATATCTGACCATATTAAAACTGCCATAACTCCAAATTGAAAAATTATGAAATATGACTACTTTTGAATAATAATAAATTAGCTTTAAATGATTTTCAAAACAATAGAGAAATATTTATTTAATGAATTGTATCATAAAGTATAAGTGATAAGTTT